GACATCTCCTGCACACTGCTTGACATAAAAAAGGTAGTAGTCCTAACCAGTTTCTTATGATGCAATTCCCCAACCATCACTAGAATTTGTTATTCTTTTACAGTTTATCCCTCTTCCACCCTATCCTTTACCCTTTAGTAACTGTAAGTTTTTTTCTATGTCTGTGAGTCTGTTTTGTAAATGAGTTCACTTGTGTCATATTTTGGATTGCACATGGAAGTGTTTTCATGTTATTTGTCTTTTTCTTTCTGATTTACTTCACTTAGTATGATAATCCCTAGGTCTATCCATGTTGCTGCAAATGGTATTAGTTCATTCTTTTTCATGGCTGAGTAGTATTCCATTGTGCATATATACATCACATCTTCTTTATCCATTCATCTGTTAATGGACATTTAGGTTGCTTCCATGTCTTGGCTCTTGTAAATAGTGCTGCTGTGTACACTGGAGTGCATGTATGTTTTGGAATTAAGTTTTCTCTGGATATATGCCCAGGACTGGGATTGCTGGATTGTATGGCAACTCTGTTTTTAGTTTTTTAAGGAACTGCCATACTGTTTTCCATAGTTGCTATACCAATTTACATTCCCATCAACTGTGTAGAAGGGTTCCCTTTTCTCCATACCCTTCAACATTTATTTGTAGACTTTTTGATGATGGCCATTCTGACCGGTGGGAGGTGATTCCTCACTCATTTTGAATTGCATTTCTCTGATAATTAGCAATGTTGAACATCTTTTCATGTGCCTATTGGCCATCTGTATGTCTTCCTTGGAGAAATGTCTACTTAGGTCCTCTGCCTATTTTTTGATTCTTTTTACTGACTCTATGAGCTGCTTGTATATTTTGAAAATTATGTAGAATTATTCCTTGATCCATTGTTCTGTTTCTACTTTAGAGGCATCCCTGAAGCCAAATTCACCTTTCGTGGTAGAATCTTCTGGCCCCATCTGCCCTAAGCCTTTCAAGAATTCCTCAAAATTTATCTATCAAGTGCACTCCTTTGGGAAATAAATACTCTGGGAAATAAATACTTTTACCTATCATAATATTAAATTATCATCTTTTGTCACTTCTAGGGATATGGACCGGAAGGGGAGCTTGAAGCATGAGCCAGTATACCTTGAACAATTTACTTTGTGAATTAAGCTTGCACATAGTTCCTCCTATTCTTGAGAAAATGAATGCTCCTTTGAAGGATGATCCAAATGTGTAAGATGTTTTAATATCCATTCTGGAATGGTATTGGTTCTAAGAGAGTACTAGGTTTTGTCCTTCATGAAGATGGGAGCTTTACAGTCATCCATCCTAAAAACTCATGTTCCACATATTTTTTCTTCAATTTTGATTTTTATTTGATTTCTTCATTTTTAGTTTATTTTTCTTTAAGTTTTCTGGCAAAGAAACCAGTTGGGAAGAAGAGCAAGAACATAAAGAAAGATCCTTCTACAGCTTTGTCTCAGAGGAACAAAAGTAGTTAGATCGTGCTTAAAGAAGGTCGATTCAGGAAAAATATTTATGGACAATAATTTTCACACAAAATAAAAATAGCTCTGTGAATCACAGGGGCAGGAAGTGGGGCAGAAAGGCATAATTTTATAGCTTGTATTTCTTCATTTACCAGGGATACATGAACTTCTCATATTTCATTCTGAAATTAGATTGAGGGCTGATTGAGAAGTTAGATGGGCGAGTCATAATTGTCCCTAGGTGTTATATTTGGAAAAAGAATTGTAACAGTAGGATCATTTTTCAGCCTCTTTCTTAAGAATTCTATCTAGAGGCTTAGGATTACCTTAATCGTCCTCTAAAAACCTGAGGACATTCTACTGAGATATCCTCCCAACATAAAAGAGTTTCAGTTTAGAATGGGCTTCTCAGGTGCTCAGATGGTAGGCCTGTACATTTTGGAGACCACGTGTTTTAATTTTGCAAATTGCTTCATGAAGTCCTAAAAGGAAAATAACATTTTCTTAAGAATTACCCCAAACTGTAAATGACTGTGTTTGCTAACTCCTGGGCTTAAACATTCTGCAGAGGTAAAGAAATGGTAGCCTTAGATAGAAGATGGTCAACCTTTTCTGGATTTCTGCTAGAAACAAGGGGAATAACTACAAGTTTGAGCTGGCTGTTTATATAATCTAGGTTACCAAGTGTAGTATCTTGTTCCTTTGTACATCATCAATTATGAGTATTCATTAATGCTTTTGATGAAACAAAATTTTAGTTTTGATCTCAATACCTTTCATAAAAAATCTATTTACTGTACATTAAACCAAACGGATAAACTAATAAGAATTTCAACAAAGAATGAAAAAAATACGCTTTCAAATATACTTGACTGATCTCGAACTAAAAAAATTTCTATCCTAATGGCTTCCTTCAGAAGTAAAAAAACATTAATTTAAGGTAAACTTACACTTTCTCCATACCCAGAAATACAAGGGAATAAATGGTCCAAGGAAACAGTTGTTTATCTTTCTTTGACAATTCTTCTCACCTTGAATTTCATAAAACAAATCACACATCTTTAAACAGCATTAGTTTATTACCTATTTGCTGTTACTTTAAACAATCTAGATTATATATAACAAAAATTTGGAATGTTTTATAAATGCCGATTGATAAAAATATTACATAGCTGCTAAATGGATTTTCTCTTAAGCACAGCAATTACTTAAAAAGTTTAGCTCTGGTCATGGCAATGTTTGTATTTAAAGAATTTTCAAGTATATACACATCTTCAAGTCTAACAAGAGGTCAGAAAAATATTTATAAAATAAATATGTAGGGGGTTTTAGAATTTCATGGACTTAGAGAAACTGATGATTCTTTAATGAATCAGCTTAAAACTTTAGTTTGTGTAAACAACTCTGTACTGGACATATAATTTTTAAAGGCTTAAAAAATATGACAGTTTTGGTTTTGATGGTTTGCTACATAATACTTATTCAAAATAAGTACGTCAATCATCGGTATGGGCCTTAACTACAAATTACTCAGTAATATAGAAACTAAAAATGTCTTCTCTATTTCCTCAAAAGATTTAAATTATTACTTTTATTCAAATTTAAAAATTTTATCATTACCAAAACAAAAATCCTAATGAAGAGTTCTTATTGTTTAATTTTAATTTTCCAGTATTTGAGATGAAAACTCTGGCTATTAGTTTAAGAGAAAGCTATTTTGCTATTCGTTTTTTTATATCATGTGTCACTTTACTCATCTTGGTAGCAAACTTTCTTACTTGACTTTATGTGTTACGAGAACGTTAAAAATTTATTTAACTAGAATAAAATACTAGTGCATTTAACACTTGCATTACTTGCAATATTTCACTATAATATGCAGACAGCTAACTAAAAGGTTAGATCACTGATGAATCAATTGTTCTTTGTGGCTTATTTCCTTTTCCAAAATTATAGTCTGTGTATCTGATTCAAGGTAAGAAATTTGAAAATGTCATAATTATACGTATTTGATATATTCCTTGCTAAAAGCAGAATGTGACTGTGAAAAATTGATTAAAACCAATAAAAAATGATGGGAATAATTTTAGAATGTCAAAGTTAATATTTTAAAATAAACTATGAATAAAGGGAACACCGAGGCTTGTCTTAAAGAACTGTTTGTCATTCTTTTTTTAGAGATTACAACACACATACAATAAATGAATTTTATCAAAATACAGCACATTTCATCTACTATATCTATAAAAATCAATTCCTATGTAAATAGTAATGAAAATCAACTAAAATGAGTTAAAATTTACAAAGAGTTGTTAAAGGGTTTCAATCAATATTATTAAAACTATACAGTACAATAACCAATTGATAACATCTTGAAAGAAGTGCAATATTTGAGTTCACATCTTTTTAAAAGTACTGCCTGTTTACTCTGACTAGCAAGAAACGAACGAGTCCAACTCACTTTCGCAAAAATAACACAGATTGCTGTTTTTGCTAGTCCTATAAAAGTCTTAATTAAAACAAGGTTGAAAAACAAAGCATAACAGACTAAAATTCCAAAATTATATTTCTTAGTAATTAAAAATGAATTGCAATAACCGAATATTGCTCTAATGAAAGGCTCCAGACTAGCCTCGACTAAAAACAGTTATTGGTCTTCTATGGCACTTTGTTCTGGTCCAAATAACCATGCATTAATTCTTACCATTGCATGTTACTCAAATTTTATTTGATTACATAGACAGAACAAAAACAAATAAAATTGATGGTCTGAATAAACAAAATTAATAAACCTCCATCAAATATTTGTTACACTAACAAGGAACGAAGGCAGTTGGTGGTAAAACACTATCACACTGATACACTTAGAAACCCTTTAAAGACTCTGAAGTGTCGAGTTCACATTTAATGTTACCTCTAGGAACAGCCCTTTATTCGAACACCTTTACACACTGGTAGGCCTCAAGGACCCATCCCTTTGCTCTGCAACTCTCCACAGCAATTCTCTATCACTGTGCCAGTTTCACAAACTTGCTTTGGTTTCCTAGCTCCATGCGTACTGTTTCCTTTTACTTTACCAAGGCCATGTGAGGCCAAACAAAATCAAGAGGCTTTCCTAAAACTTCTTACATTTTGTGTTACAGCAACACAATCCTAAAACTGGCCATTTTAATTTCATTCGTTGCTTAAAATAAAAATTAGAAATTAAGATTAAGATGGAGTTCTAGTTATAAAACAGATCATAAGTACCACCATTTGCGAAAAAAATCAAGGTGGATTTCCATATCACAGAAAATGCATGGACAAAAGAAAGAAAAAGAAAATGCATGGATATGCACCTACGGTAGTTAAAAATTTGTGACTAAAAAATTAAAAATTGAATCATAGTAGCAAATGTAATAGTCAATGGCCATGACAAGAACAGATCCTGTGGAGCTCCTAAAATGCAAATTATTGTCTTTTTTTATTTCTTTAAAAAGACATTACATTTTTATTGCATTATTCTATTCATAATACCACAGTAAGAGCTCCCCCCCCCGATTTCTTTGTTTCCAGATTTTTATAGGAAATAACTGTTTTAATCTGGCCTTGGAAAGTGAACCCACCAGCACCACCTTCACCTACTCACTCTTCAATTCAATATGCACATAGCAAAAGCCAACGCTTCAAATCTCTTGCCCACATTAAAAAAAAGTAGTTTTCAGCAGAAAAACATTAATACCAGTTGAATAAAAACAAAGGCATAAAAGCTATGAGATAGACAGCTCTGCCATCTGTCTCTGGGCTACAACCAAGGCTAACTAGAGCCTTGCACAGAGTTCAACCATGTGTATGAAATCCAAAAATAAACCTACAATCTATACAAAAACAACATGTTTGTTTCTGTAGCCTTGATTGCTATGTTTAAAAACCTAACGAGAAGATTTATATGGTATGAATTCATAGTATCCCCTATACACTGTACAGTGGTTCTTTCCCTCTAACCACAAGTTCCATTACTTCATTAATGTACAAATTTGAACATAATTTGAGTTCTTCTTTATATATAAAAATAGTCAAAATATTACTTTCCCCCACAAGTATCTTCCAATAAATCTTGCTGACTCTCCCGTTTTTCAGTCCACAGTTCTTATGAGGAAACCTCTCGTACAATGATGAGTTCTACTGTGTTCTGGAAAGTTTTTAGCAAGGACACTGCTTGTCCATGTTCGATATTGATAAAACTGTAGCCATTAGCCTAGAAGAAAGAAGAAAACTGCTTTAAAAAACCCCAAACATTTCCTGGTAGTTTATTTGCATTTGTGCATTTAAATTTCTGCCAGGTAGTCCACAAACCTGGAAGGAAGAAAGAATCATTTTGGCAATTTAAAACAACATCTATATTCCTGAGCCTTACCCCTGTCTATGGAAATAAAATCTCTGAAGGTGGGACCCAGGAACCTGTATCTTGCCCACATTTTCAGATGATTCCTATATAGCAAGCTGACATTAAGAAGCAATTGTCTAAGACACAAGGTCAGACATGGTGGTGTGTGTATGAACCAGTGTGCAGTGGAGATTCCACGCTGTTAAGAGTAGCTGAGGTCAAGGCCTTCCACTGTCCAGGAGCCACCAGACTAAGAACACTACACTTCTTATCATTGAAGCTTGACATTCATTGAGGTCTTACTATACACCAAACACATTGTTCTAAGTGCTTCTCATTAATTAAATCCTTCAATTCTCATAACACACAAAGGAGATTCTTTCATCATCATATTACACCACTCCTGAACTTCAGCGAAATGCTTAGAGGTATTAAAAAATATCAGTATGACTTTCTAAGGTACAACGGGGAAATATTTTAAACTCTGAAAGCACTAGAGAACAGCTTGTAAAAAATGACACTGTTTTCATTCACAAATATTTAAAGTTAACTTCATAAACTGCTTACTTTCAAATCTGGCATTTAATAATTCCTTGATGAGGAGGGCAGATGTTATAAAATGAAAAATAAAGAAAAAAAGATGTATCTTTAGTTACCTGAATAATTTTATCACCTGGTTGCAATAATTTTGATGCTGGTCCTTCAGGCTGTACTCTTGTTACAAATATACCCTTTAAGAACAACAAAAAAGATAATTACGTAATGGAAAGCAGTATGCATAAATAAAAGAGCACGAAAGAGTAGTCTTTCTTTTTATAGTACACAAATACTTGAATTGTGGTACAAGTTTTCTCCCTGTCTTCTCGGAATAATATTGTGACAATGCTATGTTATTTATGCTTCTGGTAATTTCTTTCTTTCGTATAGTGATTTCTGTTAAAGTGATAAATAGTTACTTATATAAGGTGTGAAGAAAGTAATAACAATTAAAAATCACTTCACAATATGAACATTTACAATTTTTGGTTAAATTTGTATTCCTCAATCCTAACTGATCACATTTCAAAACAAAAAGCTAACCAGTATTGTGGGAAATCAAAAGGCGATGTCTGTCTAGATTTATAGGAATATCTGTAAAGTTTCACTTATGCATAAAAGGCATTAAATTAGTAAATAAAAATTAATGGATATTTCAAGGATATATAAACAAAACTCACATCGTCATCAGGTCTGAATGGGTTTCCTCTTCCCCCAACACCTCCTGATATGCTGAATCCAAGCTCTGGATCCTTTTCAATTCTCACTCGAATCTGAGTTAATATGAAAATAAACTTATTCCTATATCAGAAAAAGCTACAATAACATCCATATTTAAATACCGGTAAATTAAGTTCAAGAAAACACAAATATGTAAGAATTCACCTAAAATATATATTGGGCAGATGAAATGAAGCTACAACATGAAATATTATGTTAATGAGTTAGTAAGTTAAAGGCACAGCTGGGATTATAAAGCACAGCTCCTAAATTAATCTACTGCTATCTTATGAAGATAAGCAACCAATTAATGTTGACTTCATATTTTCTGGACATCACGAACTTGAATGACATAGATCGTACACACAAAACACGTATTGTATTACCAATTTCCATTTGTGAAACACTTAGATTACATAGTATTTCTGACTATTGCATGATTCATAAGTCATCTAAAAGATCCCTGGGTGGTTGCTGGATATTAACTCATTTCCTCAATCTGTTTATATGCTTCAAGGGAGCTGGGATTAATAATCAACTTGTATTACATTTTATAACCAAGCTACAGAAAAAGATGCAAGAATGAAACTTCTGTTATGTATCATTTTCTTTTTCCTCAGAGGACAAACAAACAAAAAGAAGAATGAAGCATTTGCTCTCTGATTCCAATAATATTTTATCAATAAACTATCAAAGTATATAAATATGTGACTGATGACTTTTTAAGTATTCTGTAAGATTTAATTCTCTAAGCAGTTTGGAGACTATAGCCCAGTTTCAAAAGCTGAGTGTCACATAACAATTAGTGAACTATAATACACCATTCAAGTTTAATGGTCTGTTAGGTATATTCTTGAAGAAGGTCTGATTACTGGAGTATCATCAACTAGTTTTAGAAAAACAACCACCTTAGGGAACAAAAATTATGCCCCCAAAATACTACATCCTATGTCAATTTATCAGAATGTGGGAATCATATTGTCAAAGTTTATCACCATATAAACTTAACATGAAAGAAGACCATTAAACAAAATGGTAAAAACTATGTTAAAATTCTATATGGATTTACTGGTAAAGTTAAATAACCTAAAAAATACATTAAAAGCTAGTCTCATATTTCAAATATTGTTGATTATTCTTACCTCTTGCCTTGCCAGTTCATGGCCTTGTCTAGCAGAACAATGGGGCTGTGTGTATGGAGGTTGATGGGCCACTTTCAGCATCAAGTAATCAATTAGTTGTTCTCTAGAGGGATGCCTTGCCACAGATGCCTGAGGAAAGGGGTGATGTATCTGACTATAATTTGCCTGAGGCCTGAGAGGCTGGCCCATCTGTCCATTACTCAAAGGCATCTAAGAAAAACACGAAGTGTCTTAAAATGACCAACAATAATGTCTTATTACAAATATTTGGCTCTTCTTGGAGCATTACAAAAGCACTAGAGTTTAACATTCTAAATCACACAATATCATGCCACGTATACTATTTTCTAAATTTTACACTTTTAAAAGAAAAAAGCTATTAATGTCTTAATTCTAAACCTGAGTGCTTGCTGTAGAGTCACTCTTTAAAGTCTTCAAATGAAAGTTATATCTGTATTTTAAATTATTTTCTTTTCTGTAACCATAACCAAATGTTAAAATGGTAAATAGTATGCTAAATTAAAATTTAAGTAAGCCCATTAAAAGGTCATCTTTCCCCATACTATAGTTAATATCTCACACACACACTTGCTGTTTTCTTCAGAATGAAAGTAACAAGTTTTGGGGTAGAATTTTTTTCACAATCTGAGTATAAATTTCTTTCTTTATTCCTTCCTTTCTAGAGTTAAAAAAACCAATCCATCAATGCAGGAAAAAACTGATTTATTCCTCATGTATCTGTATGTGTTTATCAGTTTGTATTTTTAAAACTCTGTAGGTATTTCCAGAGAATGTTAATCACAAAAATTAAACCTTGACATTCTATTTTATTTTTCACAAGCTAAACAAAAAACTCCAGATTATTCTGTTGTTGTTAAAGGGTTATATCTTTGCTTTAAAGCCTCTCATTTTTTGAGATTGAATTTTAGACTTAAACATCACCTTTGCGGAAATGTGATGATAGCTTATTCTGTTAACCCAAACTACAAAATGGATATTAAAAAAAACAACAAAAAAACCCCCTAAAAACTGAATAGCAGAGCTCAATTAAAAGAAAAATAGTGGAAAAAGAGTAAAATAAGTAGATACGTACAAACTTACATGGCTGGGTTCCTACTCTCAAGAACAATGTAAATGTTTATATAATAACCTAACTGTATTTCACAATTTTATCTGGTTGTATTAGAGATATGGGCTTAGTTAAGAGAAAGAACAGCTGAGGAGAATACTACAGAACTATGTATCTGGCATTGGTGACAAAAAAAAGTAAACTCTAAATGAGTGATGCTTTAGTTATAAAAGTAATGAGAATACAACCATCATTCTACCACATACAAGTCTTTCAAGGTAATTTCCAATTGCATTGAAAGTATGTTAAATGTCTTTGGTAATCATAAAACATCCTCCAATGAAGAATTTAAGACAGGTTCATATTTAACACTGCAAATAGTTTCACTGTCAAGAATGCCAAAAAGCCTTTGATTCACATGACAAAGTAAGTAAGTGATACTACAGAAATCCAAAAATAACAAAATGATTCTTCAGTGTGAAAAAAATCAGGGAATAACTGAGGAACAGCAGAGTGAAATTTTATTTCATATTCCTCAATTATTTAAAAAAGAATCTTAGTAATCAAGAGGGAAAAGTCCTCAAAAAGTATTTTCATACATGATACTTCTAGTCAAAAGCGATACAACACAGTATGCTCACAGATACTACTTGATTTCCTGAGCACCTACTTTCATCAAGCTGTCTGGAGGAACATCTTTGTGACTAAGTGTAGCTGACGAGTAGTTCTGCTGTCCTGAAATGAATATATCATCTTGACAAGGATCTCCTGGACAGGATGTCTGGGGATGCTTCAGATGAGGAGGAAATAAAACAAATAATGATCTTTAAGATGTGAAAGGAAAATGATGATGACACTTGCGAGGAGACTAGGAAAAAATGTTACTAGATAATGGAAAGATGAAGAACTAAATCAAACATTACCATCATAATTGCAATCAATATTTAGTACCTTTATGATGGATGTTAACGAAACCTATTGTGGTAATCACTTTGCAATATATACATATACCAAACCATCATGATGTACAACTTGGACTAATATGTCAATTATATCTCAATGAAACTGAAAAAAAAAATTAGTACCTTAAACAACTTTCCAAAGTTGCATGGCAAAATTTGTTCTTATAATGTGTGAAAAGTATATAAGAATATACTATTAAGCTATTTCTTTATAATGCTTTTAGCTTTATTTACAGTAATACCTAGCTTTTAACATTGTGAACAATAAATTAAGTTATTAATCCAAGTTAAGAGTCCTAATAAAATACACATACTCCTGTTGAGCGCTACAAAAAGTTTTTTGGTAAAAAAAATTAACCGCTGTTCTTTTAACAGCACACTATCACCTGGGAATTTCTCATTAATGATGAGCAATATCAATGAACATAAGGTCTTATAGAACTAGCTTTAGCTTAATTCTATTATACTAATATTAGTTCAGTATTTTCAAAAGCACTGGTCTGGTAAAATGCTTTTAAATTTAATTAACTAGAGTTCGTATTTTTAAAGATCAAATTATATCTTTATATCATAGTTTGTCTCACTGATACCTTTAGAGGACAAAAACAGACTCAATATCTCATTATCTCTGAATATATCTTTTAAATATGTTGGGAAATTAGATGCCTATTTTTCATCTTAATTTAGTTCTAAACACATCTAAGTATATTTAAGAAAACTAAAGACATTGTGATAAATAGCACGATTGTTACTTTCAAAACTGAATATGGCTGGCAACATAGCTATGCAAACAAGATCATCATGTTGAAAAATAATTCGAGATCTACTTCATTATGATATGCAACAGGATACATACATAAATACATAAATCTAAGGGTTTATAATTTAGTCTTAGAATCCACATCTGCAACAGATCTATCACGTGCAGTTTGTTGCTAGTTCAAACCATGGCTTAGCATTTTTAGATGTAGTTTGATCTAATTTGGGTGTTTACACAATGAATATTTTATTTTCCTTCTCCATTTTTGAGAATGCATAATAATCAACTTAGCTCACAGCTTGAAGTTTAAACTCAAGCCTGAATGTACAACTATGTCTGTAAATGCACAAGTCCATTACAAATGAAAAAGTGAAACGCATCAGACACAAAGGTTCTGAATTTAAGAATAACAAGCAAAAAATATTACTGTTCAAGAACTGGGAAGAACAGTTATTCCTGGTGACTATAAAGGTTATCCCTGAGTTAATAAAAGCCCCTGGTTTTTACCCCCACTCCTGTTTCAAACAACTAAGTTATGAAATGATTGCTGCCACTATTACATAACATGGAAACTAGGTGGTGGCAGGTGACAGAGGGCAGAGCAAGACAGGTGAGGCCCAGCCAGAGCAAAGGGAATCCGAGAGGCTGCTCCTATCCTACAATACAACAGAGTAAAAGCCAGGAATGTATTAAAAAGTAGCAGGGATCGGGGGTGACAGGGAAAGGGATGCTCAGGAAAAAGCAAAGCACCCAGAAGTAAGCAGAGTCAATATGTAAATTAAAATATGAGGGAGAGGATACAATAAGGCTATGTAAGGGAAGAAAGAACGAAAGGAAAGGGGCAGAGGAAATATTTATTTAGAGGACATGCTACCACCTCAAGTTTTGTGGAAAGAAAAATAGTAAAACAGTCTTGCAGAATTATTCTGTTCTTCCTCCTTCCCTGTCCATATTCCGTACCCTTAACTTTCATTAAAAAAATTAACTTTTCTTCTTCCCTACTGATGATTATGCTGAATTGTGGGTAATAAAGGATTTTTGCCTTTTCACTGCACTTACTGTAATTTCTCCAGGCTCACATTTAATCATATTCAGGAAATAGTGATTAAACTTAGTTCCAGGTATTTAATACGCCAATTCTCAATCATTAAAGTGAAAATTATTCTTTCCCACAACCCCTCTGTGTACTACGGCATGGCACAGCCTTAAAACCTTGAGTTAGTGAGGGCAAACTACTTTAATTAAGGGAAAACACTGCCAAGAAAAATAATTTTTAAAAAAATTTCTCAGGTGGTTATTCCTCTTGCTCACCCCTTTTTACATAAGCAAGAGCTCTGACTACATCCCTAGTTATGACAACAGAAACTTGATAAAGCCTAAATCAGCTCTGCAGAAAGTTTCAGAACTAAGCCATGGAAGAACTGGGAGGTAATCAGGATTTCTAACCCACAGTAAAAATGTATTCTCTAGAACAGTTAAAACATTAAAATGTGGGGTTTTGTTTTGGGGTTTTTTTTTTTCACTTTTACTGAAAGTACTGGTCTACTACAGGTACTCACTCGAAATATGTGCCCACCAGAACCTCTTCCGTCTGCAACACTCAAGGCAACACTGCCTTGGCTGCCATGCAGATCCCTAGAGCTGCCATAGTGAAAGCTGCTTACAGCAGTAAAATTGGAATTAAAGGACCTTGACAGCATGCTCTGAATAAAGAGGGGATAGATTTAACAGAGATTAGTGCAGCATGCAAAATTCACAAGACAAGTTATATACATAGACATGTATAAAAGTAACCCCAATACCACACAGAAATAGCATGCAACACAGAATTTCCAGTGCCACTGAGAGAAATTGGCACTATTTACCAAATATTTATTTACATGACAACATACATATACACACACCAATTACATGTAAACCCAACCAATCACCTGTTTAAACACCAAATAAGAAAGTACAAACATATAGCTGCTTTTATATTGCCATTATTTCTTTTATTCCTCATATATCTTACTAGAAGTTTGCCAGAAAATAGGAACTAATGTATTTGTATGTATATAGTTATACACAAAGCACAAACTAATTTCTTTATAAAGAGATTTTACCAACAAACAGTTATTAGTCAAAATGGGTTTCTGGAGAGTCTGCTTCATTTAACAGAAATTAATTCTGTCATATTAAATGAAGAGTTCAAACACAATATAGCACAAAAGTATATTTGCAAAAAAATACCTGGCTCAAAAAACAAAACAAAACAAAACAAAACAAAACAAAACCTGGCTCTTGGCTACTGCAATTTTTGATAAAAATTTTCTTCCACATTTTGAAAACTGTCTTACATTAGAGAAAATGTTCACATATACGAAGAGTTTTAGGATATAATATTTAAAAGGCTCCTACTGCTCCACAATTACCAGGAAAAAAAAAAACTAGAAAATGCACATGTAAAAATTTTTTCTCGTTCAAATACAGGTATTATATTTTAGAAGTTAATGGTGGCTTTACTACTTAAACTTGAAGAACCACTGACAGAATCCTTCCACAGACTGATTTTACATAAAAGCCTAATAGCTAATTTCAGAGATGCCTGAAAAATGTACTCCAATAAATGCACTGCCTGATTATCATTGTTCCTGCTTGTTTATTCAGTTAACTGCTCTTCTTCCATGTGGGTTTTAGTCATGTCCCTGAACACTGAGGGTCTGCGGGTCTGAGGGTCAAACTGAGAGAAACAATATTTTGGTCATGGCCTGTTATTAAGAAATGCAGAAATGCCAAAACAATTATTTCTATGTTATTCTTAGGAAATACATACTTTCTCCAGATTATGAAGTTGATCTCTAACACCAAGAAATATTAATGACATTCTAGAATGAAAAGGATCTGTGAAATTATAACGTACACTTACAGTTATTTTGTGGATTCTAAAGTAACGACTAAAGAAAAAGCTAAGTTAATAAGGCAGGCCTGTACTTCCTTAAACCACTTCACAAAGTGTAAGAATTTGGCAAAGGCAATTCAGAGGTTCCACAAAATTTGATTAGAATGTAAAAGTAAATTATACACGTAATCACACACACCCAGAAACATATAAATAACACACACTCATGTGTTATACAGTTTCAACATGTGAACTTGAGTGGTCTGACTGACCCTTTTTTAATGATATGTCAATCCTGGAACAAAGCTTTCTCTGTCATCTTTGAAAACATATGCGATTTTGTAAACATTCCTCTGAGAAAGAAAGCTTAAGCTCAGAACAGGTCTGAATTTGAGTTCAGGCTTGTACACAGACATCCACATAAAACTGCACCCTGTCACAATACAACAACACTTTGTGCAAAGCTCAATTAAGTGCTGGGCATATGTCTTGGGCACTGTTGTTCATTACATGCTAATGGCTGTATAAGAGCAATATTATGGAACATGGCCGAGTGCTCCCTAAGTTTTCAATAAGGAATATTAGCAAATGCTGATATTCTAAGAACTCAATTTTGAAATAAATTTTTATTCTTTCAATATTTGCTGATTAGTTTAATTAAATAAGTCTTTAGAGTTCTGTTTTGGGGCAGGGGGGAGAGGTAATTGAGTTTGTGTGTGTGTGTGTATATATATATGTATATATATGTGTGTGTGTGTGTATACACACACACACACACACACACACACATATATATATAGTATATATAATGGAGGTACTGGGGATTGAACCCAGGACCTTGTGCATGCTAAGTATGTGCTCTACCACTTGAGCTATCCAGTAAGTCTTGAGAGTTCTGAGGTGAGCTCTACTTTATGTTTGTGTTCTAGGTACAGTTTATTAGAGGGTTGGGAAAGAGGGGTTACTACCACAAGGTTAAAAAACCAAGTAAGCTTCAATAACTTATCTCTTCCTGTATTACTACTAAACTCTCAGCTAGGCAAAGTAGTAACTTTTTTTCTAGACGTAGGACAGGTTTTGTGAAATCCCCTAAGGAAGTTTTTCAAATGTCTACCATGCCATTAGAATTAGGTTTAGAGGAGAGTGGAGGAAATGTAGAGGAGCAAATAAAGATCTTCCATCACCCTCCACCATTTTCAACCAATGCTTTCAAGTTTGGAGTCTAAATCATGTTGCCCTGTATCCTCAACAAGGCTTTTCCTACTTTTACTGAATTAATTTTCACCTCTAAATTACCAGTGGGCACAACTGGGTAACTGCTCTCATGTACCCTCCAAGCAATTGTGTGGCAAATTTCTAAACATAAAAAACAGAGCAGTACAATGAACAATGAGATGGCTGCTACTTGCTTCCTATTTACTGAAGTCCAGGCCTATCTCTGTCAGATAAGAAAGCAGTGGGAGAACAGTCATCTGGGATGTCAACTAGTAATATGATATAACCAAACTCATCTCTTTGTCCAAATTCATTATTCCTCCTCAAAATCCAGTTAATGGCATTCCTAACAACCAGTTATTCAAGGCACCAATCTCAAGCTTAATACCTTTCACTCAATGAATGATTATAGGAATACTCTAATTAGAAGTAAACTTTTATAAAGTCTATTTCAGAACTGCCTCTCAAATTTGTTCCTCTGTATTAATTCCACTGAAACATTTCTCATTCCATTTTGTTCTCTGGACCATTAGACAGCCTCATAACTCAAACAATTTAACCACAGTCTTTTCCTCCTCAAATCCATTTCCACACCATTGCCAGAAATTTATTTACAAAACATCCATGTTACTCCTTTGCTTAAGAACCTTCCGAATTCCTTAAAGCACACAGTTCAAAGAGCCTCAACAGTATGTACAGAGTTACTGTTGAAACAAAATGGATAGATGAGAATGAAGTCACCTAATGCTACAGATGATCAGCTATTTAAACAGCTAACAATTACAGAGGTTCAATGTGAACTGATATAAGGTATTATTCATCTTTTAGGCAATGATTTCTGAAAAATTGGACTAAAGGAATTAAAAAAAATAACGATCAATTGAGACTGTATATAGTCAGCTGTTTTTAAAAAGTCTTATATTCAATAAACAAAGTTAAGATAATTCTTAAGGTAAAATACACTAAGAAATATGAAGCTAAACCTTAAAGAATATGCCCGATACACTTGGGCCACAGAACTGTGGCACTAACATATCAGTTTTATAGAATAATTTAAAAAAATTATTTAACTCTTTCTAAAAATGAGTATCTATGCATAAAGTTATAAGCTGAACATGAACATAAGTTATTTTACCAATGACTTCCAAACTACATACGCTAGAGCCACAGACATCTCAGTTCAAATAGGTCAGAAATGCAATTAGGGAAAGTCAAGAGTGAATGCCATGCCAGAAGTCATCTCAGTCAGTGACAGCGTTAGTCATATAACACGAACTGGGAAAAAAATCTTTTAGGTAAAAGATATATATTTACAATACATTTCTGGTTATTCTGTTAACTATATAGTAAATTGTTCTTTTTGTACACATATTTACATAATCAATTATTAATACATGAGGGGAAGGTGGTCAAAATACTAAACAGAGATAAACATGTATATACATGTATTAACTGTCGTATTTGTGGCACAATCTAAAAGAGACACACACATAAATATGTAAAATGAATGTAAGCCCATCAGAAAACACTAAGGAGTAAGTGAAAGAAAGAAGTTTATACTATCATCTCATCTGGGTAAGTCTAAACTTGGACGTCTATTCTCACCCAAGGGAAAACTTCTAGAACATAAGCATATATTCAGTAATTGGAGTATTTTGTTTCACCTTGTTTAAAAAACAAAGTATCAAATTTTTTAAAAGAAAATTAGTAAATTCATAAAGAGAATGAAAAATTCATGTTTAATTACCTTTTCTAATTTTTTGGCCTCAATGTGTCGTAGAACTTGTTCTCGCCAATCATGGGGAACTTTACTTTTTCCTGGAGGATCTAACAATGAATGCTCAGAACCAACCCTTGCATTTGGTCTTTTTGAAGGACTAGTCCGTGAATAATTGAAATCACTAACTGACATAGTTCTCTCTGGTATTTCACTAACAGAGGGTCGAGCACTCTGAGGTCTCGATGCATTTGGACCATCAATGCTGTATGTTCGTGCAGAAAGAGGTCGCTGTGATCCTGACATCATTGGAGGAGTTCTTCCCACTGAATGTAACTCTCTGTATGATAAATAATCTCCTTCAGGAATTTGAGCCCTCCTCGTGGGACCTGGATCACCAAGATTGACAGAGGCTGTGGAGGACACACTACTCTGTCGCTGAATCGTAGTTCGAGTTGCTCCAGGAATGAGTCGGTCATTTGGTGAGATGGCCCACATTTCCCCATGTCTTCCTGGACCAAGTCTCTGATGTAAATGGTATCCAGTATTAGCTCGGACGTTGTTATGATTAGAGAAATTCATATTGGCAGAATGTTTAGCATAACTGTGATTTTCTGTACTCTCTGATCTAGGAAGGCGCTGAGGAGGAAAACTGACATGATCCATTTGGGGGTTTTGTTTGGAGTGCCACAAAGTGTCCTTAACTGCAGCACTGCTACTGTACTGGATATTATATTGTGGAGGACCATATATTTGAGGTGCAGACTGTGGGCCACTTGTTGTGGGGCCTCTTATTATATTTGGCTCTTCAGGATTATGATTTGAATCAAACTTGAAAATTGCCTTTGTACCTGACATTAAATCAGAAGATGAAGAAGAACCAGTAAATACCTGCAATGGTTGATCACACAAAAGCGTAGCTGACTTGCTCCTAACTATATTTTTTCCATCAATAGATGTTACTTTACCTGTTGCACTTGGCTGCTGAGGTCCATTATCACTAAGAATGTCATAGATTTTTAGCCCTCCGGTCTCCATATTAGTTATGCTATGAGATTTCACAACCGATCCAATCGGCCCACTTCTCTGAGGGGAGAGATCTTCAGTGCTCTTGGAAAGACCCATATCAACAGAAGAATTGGGATCATGTGGTTCAGTCCTCCTAGGAGACTGTGGAGTTTCCTCAGAATGTCCATTCACCTTATTTATGCATTCAAGATTAGGGTACTTATTTCCATTTTCCAAGTGCTCAGCTTCTCCTTTAGCACTGTTGCTTAAAAAGCCTGTTCCAAGAACTATATCCTGTGTCTTTGATCTTTCTGCTATCTCAGGTTGAAATGTATCATCATTTACAAGCTTATTAAGATTCATATTGATATGATCTAATTTGTGAGATTCATCAGATGTGGCTGTTGAGTCAACACCTTTCTCAATAAGAACTAATCGCTCTTCAATATTCAACTCATATTCAGGTAAGTTAAAATCTTTTTTATCGGGAACCTTGAAGTTTTCCTCTGTTGAATGATTTAAAATATCTCCATTTTGTAAAAGGCTGTTAAAATTTTCATCTTCTTGCCTAAAACAAAGATAATTTTATCACAAACATCATAAACCCCAGTTTTCTTAGTAATGGGGAGCATTACTAGCTCATTAGCTCATTAGCTCGTGTGTAGGTATACAAAGATAAGTGTTGATGGGACTCACAGATAAAAGGCATTTATTTATTATCAAGCATGTAATTTTAAAAATATTGTAAGAGTCAAATAATATATATTTATATTAAGTGGAGACAAGTTAAACACGCTAATTAAAATTTATAGATAAATTTTCATCAATATCAACCACTTCATCACAAATAGGGCTAAACAATGAAAAATACGAGATTATGTAATGAAATAATTCTCTTCTATTGCTGCCTCTTTTCATTAATGCACTAAAACGTGAAATCCTTGAAAGATGGGCAGATATATGAAAGAAAAGCCAGTAAGCTAGGCACTTGAGTAAAGAGCATGGGATATTACATAAATAATTCCAAAACTTTACATTATTAATCAGAATTAATCATGTTAACTAAGTAGATATTATTACATTCAAACATATATATATATATATATATATAAGGAAATTATACAAAGAACTAAACAATCGCCCAAGACCTACAAAATATGAAGATCAAAAAAGAAGCTGAATGTAATCATTCTATTTGACTACACTGTATTTGGCAAATATTTATAAATGCAGCATTCCAAAATTAGAAGAAATATTTCTACTAGGTGATACGAAAACATATTTGTGTCCTCTCGTGTAAATATTCGAGTTATGTTTCAACAAATAATCTTTAATATTGATCTTCCCATTAGGTAACAGATAATATTATTAGAAATACACCAAAAAAAGGTATGGCTATATCCCTTTCTTAGCTTTTATTTCATTACAAAAAAACCATGATTTAAAAAGTACTAAACTATTTCCCTACAGTATCAGTAAAATTTTATTACTCAACAAATCAATCACTGTCTTAATATCTAAGGGGGTATAAAATTAATATTTTACCACACTGGATCTCAGCTTCAAATTCAGAGGATATAAATGATTAGTTATAACTATAACCACATAATAGTTAAGCTTATTTTAAGACATAAAATCCATCTTCTTTTTAAAGCAATGCAAATCAACAACAGAAAAATTTGCCTGAAATATGCCTGGAATTTAAGAACAACTTAACTCTAAAAAATAGTTAACAATATTCATACAATAAACTTGGGTTCAGTAGTAACCCAGATCTTTCTTTCAAGCACTCTAGCTGATAAATTAACATCAAGGTCAAATGGTAATAGTGTAACTTTGATAACAAAATTTCTTGAGAGCCGTATGACAAAATTGTTTTTACTTCAGCCAAATTCAAGCCTACAGGAAGTAAACCTTGTTTCAGAGAGTTTGACCTACAAATTTAAGTCTAAGCCAAAGACACAGCACTACACAGAAATATCTGACTGAACCCTTTAATGGTATCCCCCAAAGTGACTGCATTTCTAACTCTAAAAATACCCACTTCAACTTGAATCATTCCAAACAGGCTGTTTATACGGTAATGACCAGAAAAATTATAAAACTGTTCAATCTTTTAATGAAGAGAATTGAGTAGATTTTAAATCTTTTCTCCCTCATTTAAAAGACTAATTTAAAATGGAAATGTATAAAAGCTAAATAATTAGCAGTAAAATGGGGAAGAAACCACATAATACCTGAATCACTTGTATATTAATTTGTGAAATCTTTTATGTTTTAGTCCTATATATCTATTTGCCTTACCATCTTTATTTATTATACAAATAAACTGTTTTGTTAAGATGTTCACAAACCTGATTTTGGAATTAATACCAATATGAGTCTGTTTCACTGGAGAGCACAGTGAGGTATCTTGACTGCTGTCAGTATTTAGAGAAACTGAATCAGACATCCGAGATGGAGAAGAACAGTTGCTGTTATTCTGATTGCTATTATGTGTAACTTCATCTGATAAAGAATCTGTATCCTTTGTATCATCTGAAACAAAAAAACCTTAGCTTTGATAAAGCCACGAAGAATTCCCAGTGATGACGAATGGCATTTTATACTGTCCTGGTTCAATATAGAAGGTAAAGAATTATAAGGATAATAAGATAACCAGAGTGCACTCTCAAAATTCAATTCTAAGACATACAAAGTTTAAAAAATTTTAAAAGTGATACCTTTAGTGGTTTTTTTTTTTTAGTGATACCTCGTTTTTTAAAAATATGACCAATGTGAGAGGTACTCAGAATTTGTTTAGTTTTAACTACTGACAAGATGATTCCACACATTGTTTTATAAGGTCATCAGTTAGTTTTAGAAAATATGCTTTTCCACACATTTACAGTGTTAAAAAGTCATAGTACAGTTCACAGTGTTGGTAAACTTATCTGGGGTAGAAATTATTTCATACATGCATGGAATCATTTTCATCTTTTCTGACAATCAAAATGAGCAGTGCAGTCAATCAAAGAACAAACACCAAACAATTCAAGAAATTTTCACAAAGTCAATTCTCTTTAGTTTTTAAGTCATTTCAAAGAATGTATGTAAATAGTGAACTGAGTGAACTCTCAATATGTTAGATGGTTTCATAATAACTGAATAAACAGAAATAGACAATACTCATATTCCATTATAGGTAGGTAGTATAAAAAGTACTATTTTTTAAGTACTGATAAAAAGATAACTTAAAATCTTTACCACACTAAAAGCTATTTTTAACTCAATTCTAGCCAAATCATAGGAATACTACATAAAGACACAGTCAAAGGAGATTCTATGAATCAAGGATATTTTTGCTGTTCCAAATATCTCAGTTGAAGTAGTCGATTGTGTCTACACAACTGACACAACTGTGCTACACAGCTGAAAACAGTAGCTCCTGGGGCTCTGTAACTTCAACTTTAAGGTATTTGGGTCTTGGATTCTGAATTCTTTTCTTTAAATTCATTTTTTTGTCTGTTTTGTTTTGGGGGGAGGTAATTAGGTTTATTTATTTTTTATTTATTTTAATGGAGGTATTGGGGAATTGAACCCAGGACCTTGAGCATACTAAGCACACATTCTACCACTGAGCTATATACCTTCTCCTACCTTGGATTCTGCATGCTTAAAATACTGTTAAGTAATATGGCACTTAAGTTCTTTCCTAGATATATTCCTCTTCTTCTACCTCCTTATCATGGGACAATTGTGACAATTAGATAATAACATGTAAACTCTTAGTGAGTAACAATTAGGAAGTACTCAAAAAATATCACTACCATTATTCTTATGAAACTCCAAGCTATCCTTTAAAGACCAACTTGACAGTAAGTTTCATTAATGCCATAAAGGCAAAGGATAGATAAATCTCTGGTGGAGATAATGTAGATATGTTCAGGCATTTGGTGGGAAGGACTGAGGGAAGGATAAAAGGAAGTGATTGATACTCTTCAAGTTTTCTTTCATTTCTAAGAGTCTGAGATTCTGTGGTATGAGTGGCTGGGATAGGGGAGGTGTGTTAAAAAAAAAAAGTTCTGGGATAGACAAGAAAACAAGCATCTGCACTACATCAGGTACTGTGCTATATCTGAATACACTGAACAATCCAATACATTTAATATTCACAAAATCCTGCAATGGCCTCTCTGCATGTCTAACTAGACCTACACACATGGATAAAATTAAGTAGCTCAAAGATCATATAGCAAACAAGTGGAGAGACAGAATCATAATCTAGGCTGATTTGCCTATAAAGTCCATGCCTCATAAGTAAACTTGCATGAACGAGGAAAGAGAAAAGATCCACCAAGATTTTTCTTTAAAAACACAAGCAATAAGGAATAGATCTTTTAGAAAGGCATGTTTTAGAAATTATTACTAAAAAGTGTTTTAAATAACATGACGACATTTAATGAAATTTATTCTAAAAAATTACTAAATTTTATTCAGGTTATTTCTATTCTTAGTGCTTTCCTTTAAATCTAACCTTTTTTGTTATTACTAAGTGCTACCACTTTGGGTTGGTTAATAGAACTTTCAATTAATGGTGGCCGCATCTCTGCCATTTTCATCTCTTCATCAGAAGACAGTTCTTCAGATTCCTAATTTAAAGAAAAAAGAAGGAAAATATTTATAAAAATAAATTTTGGTTTAAGTGAATAAATATTAAGTCCCAAGAATTTCAAAGAGAAAAGAATACTTAGAACACATATAAAACCTTTATTACAGTAATAGTGACTAAAACTAGCACGTGATTTAAAATTTTCAAGACACTGGAGTAAAAAAACTATGGAAATTATTAACAGTACGCCAAAGTACCTAAGGTATAATTTTCTGTGGTGGTCCTTAATTCAACTGTATTAATGATCAGTATGTGCCTGGTACTATGTCAAATGTCAGAGAAACAGAAATGAACAAAACATAATCCCTGCTCATTGAAAAACTCAGTTTAGCAAAGGTACTCTAACAAAAAGTCTATTCCTAATTCTCAAACTTATTTCCTCAAGGATCTCTGGGTTCCAAGGAATCACAAGGACTGAGGCGTTCTTCCACCAAGTGAAATAATGTCAATTTTTGCCCAATCTGAAGACAGAATTTTTAAAATTATTCTACATGATTTTTTTTCTCTGATAATTTGGCAATTGTCTTGGGTTATCTACCATTGAGTGCTATTAGACAGAAGAAGAAGGAAAAAGACCCCATGGTCAACAAGTGTTAACAGAAAAATTTTAACACTGTATATATTGTATATAAAAATCAGATCTTCTATAGGTTAAATTATTCCTAGTTAATATGATGAAAATAAAAGGTCTTAAAAAGGTGTTCTATTAAAAGTACTAAGACTTCTACGTGCTTTATCTGCCATAATAAATAAGTGGTTTGGAGTCAGAAAACTATCTCAGTTAGAATATCAGACAGTAAATATTTTAACACTTTGCGAGTCAGACAGCCTCTGTTTCAACCAACCAATTCTGCTACTGTGTATACAAGTAGCCAGAGACAATATGTAAACAAATTACTATGGCTGTGTGCCAGTAAAGCTGGATTTCATCTAATTTTTCACATTTCACATAATACACTTTTTCTTTTGACTTTTATTCAACCACTTAATAATGTAAAAGCTGTTCTCAGCTTGTAAGCCATACAAAAATAGGCGGTGGGCCAGATTTGGGCCACAGGCCAGAGTGTGCCAACCCTGTTCAAGATTGTGTTACAAAAGAAAGAGTTAGACTGTTAAGTAGTAGATGAGGGAAAGAATGTAAATGGGGTTTAGTCTTCAAAGGTGAGTTAAGAGGGAAATGACATTCTGAGTAGAGGAAAACATGGAAATAAGGTATGGCAAGTCAGCTTCATGCAGCTGGAACTTGGGATAAAAGAGGCAGGAGAGAGAGAAAAGGTAGACTGGATTGCAGGGTAAAAGGTTATGCTCTGGGTACGAGCTCATGTGTTGGCCTGAAAGTTGCCAAGCCAGGAACTCACAAGATGGGATTAACTTTTAAAATGTAACTCTGGTATTAAAAATGTACAGAAAGAGAAAGAGACTGCTGGAAAGCAATCTAGCTATGTAACAGTTCTGAAGAAAAAAGACTCCACCTGTCCTTAGGCAGTGGCAGTGATAGCCAGTAAAGAAAAAAAAGAATCAGACAGAAAATTTGCAATTAACAAGACTTGACTGACAGAATGAATGCAAAGAATGAGATGACCGGAACGAAGAGGGGCAAATGGTCTATCTTAATCGTTGATACATCTGCAGCATTTAAACTGCTGACCAAACTTTCTCCTTTGTGAAGCCGTATTATACCTGGGCTTCTTGGAACTTTAGTCTCCTAAACCTCCTCCCACCTTTCTGTTTCCTTGCTCATGTCAATTAATCTTCTGCAGTTAGTTCATGTTTTTTTTCCTTTCTCCGTGATTTTGTTTAATGTAGAAAATTCTCCAATTTATAAGCTAGCTTTGCTTTACCTTTTGAGCTAACGATCCATATTTCCAACTATTTATTGAATGAGTCTATCTGATGGTCTTTATCAAGTGTTCAAATTCCACATATCTAAAAACAAATTTGTCCTTCCAAGCCTGTCTGTTCTCTTAATACCACTATTTCTGTTAATGGCATCATCATCCTATTCAGGCATAGTTATGTAATTGTTCCCTCTTCTCTATTCCTTATAGTCAAGGACAGTCGCATCTAGTATCTGTAATTTTCTTGCAACTAACTTCTAGTCCACGATTTCTACTATTGTTATTCAAAAGCCCTCAAACTTGGGAGAATTCAGCTGCTGTTGCCAGATACCTCTAATACATAGCTCTATCACAAGTAATGCTCGGCTACAATGTTTTCAGTGGCTCCCTAAATGATATAGTATAGAACATTAAGTCCAAATGTCTTACCATAGCTTTTAAGGGCTTCAGAATCAGGATCTACTGATTTCATTAGAATTAGTAGAATTCAGAATCTACTCTACTAATTTTATTTCATATACTATCACCCCTGACATATTCAGTCAGAGTGAATGTACTCTTTTCCATATTTTCTAAATCCTATTCTTTGGCTCTCATCATTTCTCATTATTTCATTAAGTTCTCCAACTTCTACTAATACAAACATTTCAAAACACAGGTAAAATGCCTCCTTCACCTTAAAGCATCCTTAGTTCTTCGTAGCCAGAAAATATCTCTTTTCTAAATTGTTGTAGCACCTAATGTTTTTATTAGTACCTTCTTACATACTTAGCACACTCTAACCTTGATTATATTCTATACATTCATTTATCCATTCTGCCACCATAGCCCAAAAGCAGGGCCTTACAATATAAATTACACTAAAGCAGTGTTAGTAAGTTCACTGGGACAATCCTAATAACTTTTTCATAGACTATATTAGGTTCAATGTATATATAACAGTGTATTGAATGATGTGATTCATTTAGTACATTCAAAACCCACGAGTTTTTTCCTGTAGTAGAAACTAGCTTACAGGATAACCTTGAAGATAGATGATATACTCTGAATTCTCCAGAATAAAGATGCTATTATAAACCCACAATACCACTCTTTTTATACACCAGTGCTCTCCAGTATAACTTTCTGTAATGATGGAAATTATCTGTGTAGTTCAACATGGTAGCCACTAACCAACCAAATGTGGCTACCGGGTATCCAAAACATAGCTGGTGTAACTTAGCAGCTCAATTTTTAATTTTATTACTTTAAAAAGCCACTTGTACCTAGTGGATACCATAGTGGGCAATACAGCTATAAATAAAAAACACTTCAGAATTGCATTTTCAAAGGTTATAGCTTTACCATTTTACATTACCTCCAGCAGTGTACGAGGGGAAGGTAAAAGGGTACAATCACTTTTGGAAAACTGTCTGGCAGTTTCTCAAACACTTAAACATAGACTCACTATGATCCATAGAGTTTTCTCTGACCTAGCAATTCTACTGAGGAATACACCCATGAGAAAAGAAAATATACATCCACACAAAAACTTGTATACAAATATTCAAAGAAGTCTTATTCATTACAGCCAAAATGTGGAAATAAATCAAACGTTCATTATTGGTGATTACAATGGAATATTGTTCAGATATTTAAAAAATGGATGAAGTACTGATACATGCTACAACATGGATAACCTTGATGACATTACACTAAGTGAGAAAAGCAGTCACAAAGACCACATATTGTATGATAACATTTATATTAAATGTGATACAACACTGTAAACTGACTATACATCTATAAAAACAAAAACATTTACATGAAACGCCAAGAAGAGCCAAACCTATGGAGGCAGATAAAGCAGATTACTAGTTGTCTAGGATTGCAGGGTAGGGGGTTGGAGAAGTTGCAGGGAGACAACTGAGAAAGTACAGGCTTTCTTTTCAGGGTAATGAAAATGTCATAAAACTGACTGTGGTGAGGGCTGCACAACTTTCAGTATACTAAAAGCCATTAAACTGTACCTCTTATTTAAATGGGTGAATAATATAGTATATGAGTTATATCTCAATAAAGCTGTTTTTTTTTAAGTTAGTTTTTATTGATCCACCAGAAAAATCTCTTTAAAAAAAAGTCTCAAGATAGTCAGGAAAAAAATACTTCACAATCAATGATAAATGCTTAAATAAGTCAAATAATTAAAGTACACCTATGGCAACCTTTTCATTTTCTTTTTTCATTTTTAAGTTGTAGAAATAAAAGCAATTGCTATTCTGTAGTTTACAGAATTAGAAAAGAACTGCCACAAACCAATTTATACAGTAAAAATCTTATACCCATTGTACTCAAATGTTTAAGCTTAAAGTGATAAATGAGTAATATAGCAATTATAAAATTTCTCAATGGCAAATGCATTAGCGTATTTTCTATCAGTATCAGGTTTCTCCTACCTTGAGAACAACAAATGAAATATTAAATTCTTATCAGTTATGACTGCCCCAGAATAATCATGAAGCCATACCTCAAAAACATCATCATGATTAACAATATGCTTCAAGTTCTCAGAGGCTTTCATATTTGCAGTCACTGGTGGATTCCCAGGACTGATCTCAGCTTCAGGTTCACTGGTCTTCTGATTAGAGTTTCCTATCATATACTTTTCTCTTTCATCAGCCTTGCTTCTTACTGGAGTGGTACTTTCTGAAGTCTAAGTAAAAGAAAATAAATCTTGTATTAAAGTTTAGATGAAAATTTAGAAGTAATTTAGTATTTTCCTAGTCTAGATAAATTGAAGAAACCTGAAACATAGAAATGTCTAGCACTCACAGATAAAATGCTCATTTGGGGAACAGGTGGTCCCAAAGGTCCATGAGCCACATTAAACTTTACAATTCAGCTGATTAGATGAAATTACATTTTATCTTAAAAGTTGCAAAGCTGATGTTTATAACTGAGTCAGCTCAGCATGCTCAAACTCAGGTTAATTTTTTTTCTGCTCATTATAGAATGCATAATGACTCTAGCGACATGATAAAACTTCTGTTTCTGTGACACAATGTGGTAGAAAAAGTCCATTAAAGGAACATACAGTTTAGGGGTTTGTGTAAATTTCTGAAATATTCCAACGAAATGCTGATGATCTGCCACAGCAATACATTTAAAATTAGAACTGGGTAGACTAGATCAATATTACCAAGGGAAAAGGCATTTCCAAAACAACGAATTTTCTGGTATGTGTTATCTAATTCTTCCTTCAGACAATGGTTTTTCAAAGTACATGTTGACACTCCCACGCCCATCTGGATAGTCTGTAACTACACTGAAGTGGTAATAATAGCCAGTTAGGGAGTTACTACAGCTTTTAGCTCAGGTATTGGAGAACATCCCCTTAAATGTGGGAGTACATTTTAGTGCATACAAAAAGGATCACTATATCAATTATCATTTTAAAATTTTACAGAACTTGAAATAGGTTTTGGCCAATGGTTTTGAATTGAGTTTTCTAACCTTTACACCCACATCATTATTTACAACTTGCTGATCTTCATGAGGTTTCAAATCTTTCCCAGAGTCTTCATTACTCTCTTCATCTTTTAATCTATGTACAATGGTTTGAACAGTTTTGACCATATTTTTAAGTTCATCTGGGTATGGGGTTGGATATCTCTTTAAATTTCCCTCCTAGAAAAAGAGAATAAGTGAAAATTAAAATATAGATAAATACTTCTAATGTCAACCTCAAAATTTAATCTATAATCCATCTTAATTACATTGCATATCTAGTGCATAGGAATAACTGTGAAGATAGATGATAGGCCTCTGAAAGCATTTTAAACTCAATAAAAGTACGGTTTTATTGACAGTCAAACTTCACAGTTACAGATTTTTAGTGTTTTAAAACCTTTTTTTCAGCTGACTTAAACGTATTCCATTTAGAGATACATGGTGTGGATATTGGCAACATTGTCACCTGGTTTTTAAACAGGTATGTGTTTTCCAGCTAGATAGTTATCCAAACACATAAAAAATGCCTGCATTATATCTTTTTTAAAAAAATTTCTTTGTACAATTTATTTTTATTTACTTATTTTGGAGGAAGGTAATAAGGTTTATTTATTTATTTATTTTTAGAGGAGGTACTGAGGATTGAACCCAGGACCTCATGCAGGTTGAGCATGAGCTCTACCACTGAGCTATATACCACCCCCCCTTGCCTGCATTATATCTTATGTGTTAAGAACCAGACACTTCCAAGGTCAGCCTAATTGTCATCTTCTGGGATTCAGCTAGTTTTATTATATAAGGGGAAGATAATCACATCCATAAGTAACTTGGAAATGTGTACTTGCTGTTTCTGTCACTGCGACACAGTGTCTTCATAAAGAAACAAAACATTCCTATCAAAGAGTTCTTTATCCCTATAGTACATATAAATAAATCATTAAAGAAAGGAAAGGCAGAAAACAATCATCTGTTTTTCTCTTATGTTTACGCATAGTATGAAATTTAACTTTTAATCACACAATTTTATATTGTTCTCAAATTCTTTCACATGATAAATGTATTGGATCAGTAAAATTTCAAGTGCATTGAAGGCAAGGAATGAAACCAGTACTTCTTTGTATCCCCCAAAATAACACAGACTAGCTACACAGTACCTAATAAATACCAGCAGACCTCTCTCAAATCTGAACGAAAAAAGGTCAGACTCACCCTGGGAGGTGCCTCTCTCTCATCTTTGTCTTCATCACATTCAAATGCCACTTGAGCCCGCTGTTTTCTCTGTTCCTCCCATAATGAAGGGTTAAAACTTTCATTATCTGATATGAACATAACTAGAGAAAAACAAAAAACAAAACCCCACTATATTTTACTGTAATTACATATGAAAAACTATTACTTGCTCATAATTTTCTTTATGAGATATGTTCCTTTAGGTAAATCAAGACTGGTCAATCCCAGCAGCTATAAATTCTGTACTAACAGCTAGGCTGTGTGTTGAACATTTCTTTATAATACCCATCATGTATCTTTTCTTCCCTAAAGCTGATTTGTCTTGTTTTGTTACCAAAGGATTCCTGAAGAGAATCCAGCAATCAAAACACTATAGATTAGTGATTTTGTGCAGTGTCCTACAAAAAGTAACACAGTAATATATAAATTATTTCATCCAAGTTCTGGCATTCAGAAATCTTCCTAATTCCAATATTGTTCATTATGTATTGGGATGAGGAGGGTAATTTAAAACAGAAAGAGGGAAATAGTTTGGTAAAAAATGACTATACTGATGGCATGTAATTACATTTTTGCATTAAACATGACATACAATATAGCTTTACTAAGTAAAATGATTATAAGGTATCTTCTACATCAAAATTAATGAAAATTTTAAAAAATAACAAAAATTGAAAATTTAACATAAACTCAACACTTACATATCCTATCTCTGATATAATATTAAAGATTTAACAATAGTGAGTTTTTTGCTTATTAGGTAACTAAAAAGAAAAAAAAACAACAAAAACCAAAGCTTAAAAAAATTAACGCATTTGACTATTATATATCACCTTATAGAAGTCTGTAGAGAAAACAGAAAAAAATCACAACTTATTTTCTGCCCATTGAAAGAAAACAAGAATACCTACTCAAAACAAAAGGGATTAAAAGTACCTAAAATTAGCTAATAGAAAACTTAAATTCCTGGAATACCCAAATATGGTCAGTTTCATTACTTGTGCAAAAGCAGCATAATTATCATTTATTTTTAGTCCTTGTTTTGGACTTCTTTCTCTTTTTTAATCTCATATCCAAACTAAGAATGCCATGAAATGAAATATTATCAATGGGAATGAAGCTTTAGATTTGGCTTTTTCTTTGTTTTTACTGCTAGGCTCAAGAACTTTTTAACTGATTTGTGGAGTTGCTTAACATTAAATGAATTAGTGTTTTTGTTTGTGCAAAGTGGTTCAAATTCCTGGGTAACCCTACTGACGTACTTTTGTGGTATATATGGAAATGCAAGCAGGGCAAAGCAGTTCCAACAAAGTCTACTTCCAGGACTAAGATGATTTCCCCTCCCTTCTTAGGCTTGCTTTGTTACCAGAAGGATTCCTAAAGAGATCTAACAAAAAAACTATAGATATGTGATTCTGTGCAGTTCCTCACAAAAAGTAACATGGTAATATATACATTACTTCATTCAAAATTTGGCATTCAGGAATAATCTTCCTAATTTCTGATATTGTTCACTATATACTGGGGCAGGGGGGTGGGGTGTACGGGTAGACCCCCAATCACCAGCCTAGCCCAGAGATCTCTTAAGAGTTTTTTAGATCATGTCAAAGCAAATTTGACACTAGAAGTTTCTCAGAACCCCAAGGTAACTTTTACCATGCCTCTCACTCCTGTCAACTTTTGGTCACTTGCACTTTCTTCCATTTAGTATAAATCTCACAGATTTTAACATTCAGGGCATTAGGTAATAATATCCTTTTTTTTTTTTTTTTTTTGTATTTTGGGTGCCACTCAACCTGATCACACTGGCATATTCCTTAAGGACTTTACTATTTCCTAGAGTGTTTCCCTCTACCTAAGACCTGGCAATATCTTGAATGATGACCACGTGTGATGACCCCCCCTTGACAGTGCAATTTCATAGTTCTCGATGCCCTCGATTCCACTGTCCAGCTGCACTACACCCATGTGATTCACACCATGGTAATACTCAAGACCTTAGCTTCTGTGATACTTTTCCACTTCACTGACCACTACCCTTGTCCTTCCAAATCATTCACTTCTTTTTTACTGCTAGTAAATACTGAGTTCCTTGATCTCATTTCTTTTTCTTCCTGTAAAACCACTGTAGGTTTTATTTCTCTATTCACCTTAGATTTCATGATGTATCATTTTTACCACTCTCACATTTCTTGTCCTTTTTCCTTAAGTCATACCTATCTCACAAATCCTGTCATGTGGTACTTGAATCATCTACCTTCTTTGCTCTGGAATTCTATCAGAGAAAAATGACATAACCTTGTTGGTTAGAACCACCACGAATTTATGCTACTGCCTCCTCTCTGCTCCATCTTCAATGCTGCTCAGGAATCCTATTTATCCCTACTCAGTCTTCTTGCCCACTTCAAATCACTACCGTTTCCCTCAGACACCTTTCCCATAACCTTTAGAGGCAATTTTTCTCTCTGACTGCACTAAGAAAATAAATGTAATGAAACCCTTAGACTGACATTACACCCCAAAATCTGCTTTGGGCAGTTACAAACTTATTATCATATGAATTCATACTTCCTCTTTTTCCTGTTTAAGACTGATTCCTGTAATGAGGCCTTCTTTCAAATTTCTACATTATTATCCCCCTTTTATATCATGAGCTTCTTGAAAGCAAGGATTTACGATCTTAAATACTTAGATCTAACACAATGCCTGGCACACAGGTGGTAATAAAAATGGAATGAATTAAATGTGAACTAATGTCTACTTTCAAAGTGTTACAAAATTCCAACTCAAGAACATTATGTTTTCTGACTCACCTATTTCTTAGAGGCATGTGATAAAGGAAAAGCTTTTCTTGCAGTTGAAAAATTCACCTCCAGGACCATGATGAATGTAGTTTCTGATTCAGTATCAGTGTAATAGTTACACCACTCTCCTTATAATACCATAATACCCGTAGTGAAATACTTTTAAAAAATAAAAAAGTCTAAGAGGATTCAGAATATTATAAATTTATCTCAGACTTTTCTTCTGACTCTAAAATGCATCTACAAAGTCAAAAGTTAAAGTGGCAGGGTTTTATTTTGCTACTTCTACTCTTCATATCAGAAATAAATTTCTTACCTGAACTATGATCACTTTTAAGAAGAAACAGTAAGAGAATAAATTGAAATGATAGAAAAAAGGAGGCCATGTGAATCATGAAAACAGAAAACCATAAAAAGATCAAGATATATGTATACCAATGATTAGAACAGTTTAGAGCAGGGGTCAGCAATGTTTTTTCTGTAAATGGTCAGATAATAAATATGTTAAGCTTTTGTGAGCCAAAAGACAAAATCGGGGATATTGTTATATAGATACCTTTATAACATGAGAAATCAAAACTCCACAAGATTTTTGATAAATGTAAAATATATTAATAATTGAGTAACATTTTTTGTACTACAGCTGTACTAATGCAAAGACTGAAATTCTTAACTGTTGGAATAACATTTTGCTTAACTGGGGTTCAACATTAGTGTTCACTATTATCAAACTGATGCAAATATTCACCTGCAAAAATTACAAATGGTTTTGAGTTGTTTTATACATGTTTGGTTACTTAAAAGTCAGTATAAAAAAAAAATCCTGAAGTCTCTATATGACAATAACAAAACCAGGGAGGCAAAGCACTAATAACACATTAATATAATAAAAACATCAAGATCAAACATGTCCCATGGAGACTGGTTCAATCACAGGGAAAAAATAATTTTGTTTGTATGGTATCTATAGTTGGTTTTTTCCTAGTATTTTTTGTTTTTATTATTTCTCTGAAACAATAAAAGCAGCAAAATAAAGTATAAGAATTAATTTCCCAAGTTTCCCTTTTCTAAGACAGGGGACAGAAAACTATTAAATGTGACTCACTCCCTATTTTGTATATTATTCACAAGATGCTCACTCTTACTATTTCCTATTATCCAGAAATCATCTTTAGAGACAAAGAAAAGTAGAAAATTGTGATACGAATCCCAATGACCAAAGCAAGCAAGCAAACAGACCACCTACTGACATATCTAACATTTACTAAAATTCCTAACACTGCAAGAGTAGGGGCGTATGTCCGAGTTGGTGTATCTATTCTGAACTTCCTAATTTCTACTGTACATAGAAAGTACTTGCATAAAACAAACACTGACTATCTAAAGCATAGTATACTGTATTCTGTTAGGGATACACATATGGAGATTAGAGGGTAGACTTAAATACATAGAAGAGAAATCTTGCTTATAAACCTGTTTTCTAAGCTTTAATTAAATACCCTCCAATGAGTGAAGCGATTTCTGTTTACATCTGACATCTCTCAAGTCTTAATTTCTAATTCAGTTCTAAAGCTAAACAGTTTTGCTTCATCCAAATAAATCTCATCAAATATACCCAGGAAATAACAACTTACCAGAGCAAGTCTCATTCCTTCTTGCAAAAAGCAAAAAATAATTAGCATAGAAGTAATGAGTTTCTAATTATTTATCATTAGTTACCGAACAAAAGTTAAATATCAGTTTTTAATCTGTTTAAATAGTTCAAAACTGTTAGCTAAACCTGTCAAAACAATGTAAGAATAGTAACAAGCAATTTGATTCTGTCTCAGTGCTAAGCTCTTTATATCCAGTGTTTCTCATGTTAACAAATACTCTGAAAAATAAATACTATTACCATATTTCAAGATAAAGAAAGTGGAAACTCAATAATTTAACCTGCATATTGTGTATTTTAGAAAAATTAAAGTGAATGATTAATTTCAATTTTTTCTTCTTTTTATATGCTCAGTTTTAACTTAAGGCCATAATGACTTTCATTGGTTTCAGAAAAACAGACACAAAAAAATAAACTTTAAGTGTAATATATAATACATATTACACACCCACATCCACATATAGTACAACAAATATTAGAAACAATTTATTCCTTAATGTAAAAGGCATTCATACCATACATGATGAAAAGCATTTGTGGCCAATAGTAAAGGGTAAATTCCCCCTTTTGGCAAAAGGTAACAAAGAAATTAGAAGTAACACTTACAGGCAGAAATCTAGTGATAATTGTTATCTGTTGTGTAGATCCAAGGGCAGTATTAGGTTTACAACAGAAGCAAACAAAATATTTCCTGGCTTAATAATAGTCTTAATTATAGAACACTTAACATGCATTCCTAACATTTAGTTAAATGAGATTTAGAATAGAGAGATCTGTAATAGATAAAGATCACTGTTTAATTTCAAGGAAGCATTTAAGGAAACGCATGAGACAGACAGACAGACAGACAGACAGACACCTGTAAATTCAACTATCTATAACCCTGGATGTTGCCTCCCATTGTCAGAGAACTTTATTAGCCAATTCTCCAAATTCTCTTCAAACTAGTAAAAAAAAAGTCTTTGAGACTTAAAATTCACTTCACACCTTTGCTGTGATTTGCCAGTATTTGGTTTTTAAAAGAAAAGAGATTCTTAAATTCCTACCATCCTCAGTCCTTGGCTGCTGAGGGAACATGTAGTTAGTAAGCACCATTTTTTGGGTCTCTGAATCAGTCTCTTTTTGAAGAGGTATCAGGGGTTTGGACTACGGAAAGAAAATAAATGTTTAATTTTCAATAATCCTAAAGCAAATACATATCCAACAATTCCCCTGAGTTAAGTACTCACCATTTTTTCTATAAAGTATCCATGTGTAGACTACAAAAATATTTTTAATATACATAATAAAACTTTAAACACTGATTTAAAACCTTAAAAACATCTAAAAACTTAAATTTTAATACAAACCAAACTCACACCATATTGTAATTATCAACGATTATCAACGATTATCAACATAGTTTTAAAAGTTCTCATGTACTAAGTATATCCACAGTCCAGTTAATTACTTACAGTGATTTAATAATGCTATAAACTAAGCCTTTCCATTTTATATTACTGTGCCCCTTCTAGTATTCCCCTTTGGGAAGACGCTTTTGCAGAAATGATTGAGAAGGTTTAGTCTTATCTGCAGGTTTATTTTAGCTGGAAAGAGAGTACTTAAAGCAAACATTAAGTTGTAACCTTCTCTCTTCTCCCCTGTGTCTTCTATCTCCACAAGTTACTCAGTGGTGGAATTAGTATCCCAATTATTTCAGACCTCATTCTTCCTTAAGACTTTTTTCCTAACTGGTTATTAAGTGTTCTCAATTTATTTCTTACTTTAACTTGTATTTTTGCCAGCCTACTGACCCAACATCATACCAATCCAAGCCTTGGCTGACTCCAGACAGGCAAGAACTGCCCAACCTTCTCACTCGTCACCCTATCAGTTAGTTCTTTGGACTTACTCTTGTGAAAACCATATAGCTAGCTAATGCCATCCTATAACCTTACTCTCCTTCAAACATTTCCTCAGGGCCCCTGTTCCTGTTCCACAGAAAAGATACTGCACTGCATCTCAAACACCTTCACTGAAAGCTTTCCTTGACCTTCGTAGACGACGGGAACAGTAGATCTACCCCTTTCCCAAAGACAGCACTTCCCTGAAGCCTTCCCAGATCCAGGATGCTTCTTCTCTCACACCTTATAAACCTTAAGTCAGGAGGCAGAGTTACTGTTTACAAATGCTATGAGATCATCACTCCTCTCTCAAGTACAAATACCTCTTCTTTTGAGGAAGATTAAGCCCTGCCCCTATCATTCTCTCTCCTTCCCTAAAATCCACTGACCTCCTGGTAGCACCCAACAATTTTTGACTCTTTTATGCCAAGTCTTCCCACAGTCAGGGGTAATTCAACAGATACAAAATGTAGATGACATAGCTATACTTTTATCCCAGGAATTTCTTAACAGATGAGGAGTGTATGGGAGGAAGAAAGAAGTTCACTTAGATGGACAAATCAAAATTATCTGGGAGTCTTTTAAAAACTAACCCCCCCCAAAAGATTCTAAAATTAACTGTGGTAATGGTTGCACAACTCTTGAATATATTAAAAACCACCAAATTGTGTGCTTTAAAGTGAGTGAAGTGTATACAGCGTGTGATTTGTATTTCAATAAAGGTGTTATAAGAATACAAATCATCTGTTAGAGTGCAAGGCAGAAAGCGACTGAGAACTATTTCACGAGCCACTCCATTCCCTTAATACTTCACTCCAATGATCTTTATTACTATTTCATTTTAGATACTCATTCTACTTCCTTGCCATAATTCCTACAATATAACCTGTTAAATATTCTTCCTCTGAAATCTAAAATCATTCATTCAACAAGTATTTACTAAGTGTCTCCTATATGCCAAAAGCACTATGACAGGAACTAGGTGTAGAGTGGTGAGCTAACCACCTTCACTGATTTTGTAGAACTTAACAGTATATGAGAAGAGGGATAGTATGAACAAGAAATTACAGTCACCCCAATCACAACAATTTTCCACTGAGCTTGAATATAGGTTAGAATACTTCTAAAAAATAGTAATTTATCAAAGTTGACATACAAGATGAAAAAAAAATGTTTACAATCCTCGAAGCATAATGCAAACTCCCTTGCACGGCACACAAGATTCCCCATGCCCTGGTCCCTGTCCACCTCTTTGGCCTCATTTCCTACTCTTTCATCTCACAGGTTACGCTCTAGTCACAAAACCACTCGTAGAGTTACCAAATATACTACACTGCTTCGGTGCTTAGGCTCATGATACTCCTTCTAACCAGAATACTCTTCCCCTTTCTTTGTTTAAATCCTATGACTGCCTTGAGAAGATTTTATTACTCTCTTAGGCACTGCAGGCACCTCCTCCTCTGGGAAACTTGCCTTACTATCCTCAAGTTATGTATCTTTTCTTTGATCCTGAAGCCTACAGTCCTAGCAAGTTTTTAACCATACTGTATTAAAACAACTTTCTTAATATCTGTATTTGGCCCTCCTTAGCCTGCCTGGCACAAAGTAGTTGTTCAATAAATAGTTCTTGACTAACAATGACAAAATGAATGAGGGAATGAACAGTCAGTTATTCTCTTTAAGCCTTCAGAGGGACTTATGAAAAATTATGTCTTTGTATGTATTGCCTATAGATATATTCCCTACACCATCAGTGAAATGTGCAGGAACAATTTATTTTCATAATTCATAATTCAACTATTTTCACATACTTTCTCTCCTACATTTTGTTCTTTTATAGTGAAATGACTACTTCATACTGTAAGGGAGGTTTTATAGCTACACTGTATTTGTTTTAGTACTTTCTACATTACTATTTTGTCAAACCAAGGAAAACAGTGTCCCATTACTACAATTTTTGCTTTAAAGACAGGTGGCAAAACACTGCAAATATGAAGAAGCTGTAAAGATACTAAAAAATTTCACTAAAATAAGTCATTTTTAATCCACATTTATCCACAATAATTTATCCACAGCTCAGGAGATATATCTCATTCATACTGTTTTAAGTACTTGGCATAAGCCAGGGCCAAGCAAATGTTTTGTGAATCCAGCTGCTAAATTTCAAATCCAGTTTCAAAAGTAAATACTCAATTAAGAGAGATGAGATAGTCAAGAGTTCCACATATATGAATTGACACATATGCAGTAATCACTTGTGTTCAAGCTCTAATAAAAGCAAAAGTATCATTTTAATATTTCCTTCCCTAATTCACAGAACAAGTAAATACTACAGTCTGATTTATAAGTGTGGATCAATATCAACTTAAGGCTTTTAAGACATTATTAAGAGTTAGGTGGAAAGGGGCTCTCAGTTAAGTTCAGAGAATCCTGAAACACATACAAGAGGGTTTCTTTACTGTAGTAACATATCAGAGTTGTTAATAAAATCCAAGAAAGGGATACAATCCTGTCTCCCAAGCAAATCTGACTGTGGAACTTAGGACTATCACATGAGACAAGTGCATCTTGAAAAATATAGCTTTAGATAAATTATAAGATAATTTATAAGTCAAATACTAAGCATTAATTTATTTAAAAGATCTGCTGTGTTTAAAAAAAATTTACTAGTAAGAAATACTGAGAATAGATATGGAGAAAGGTTTCCTCATAATTACAGATAATAAGGTCACCCTTAGTTTTTTCTTTTCTTTTTGTTTAGGACCTAGAATCCATTATTTAGGTGACATTATACAGGAGATTTTGTATCCATTAAAGTAGGTTTACAACAGCCTACACTGTGAATCCTAAGACTAAGAATTGGCCATTTCAAATCATACCCAAAGTACACATTTGCAGATGTTTTTTTAACCAGTTAACTATAGCTACTATTTACAACTATGAGACACTAACTTTTAATTCAAACACCAAGGCAAATACAGAAATACATTATCTATGAAGTGTCCAAATGAAACTTAGCTAGAGTATATACTCATCATCCTGACCTTTATCCTTCCCAGGCGCTGTCATACACGTATACCAGGCTTCCATCACCAGCATTCCACTACAACCCCTCCTCCTCCACATCAGTAATTATCTCTATCTTGACAAGCCCAATGACCAGTTAGCAGTCCTCATCCACCTGACCCACCAGCAACGTCTGACACAGCTAGTCTTTCCTTCAGCACTTCCTTCAGATGGCTCTCTGGATAATACACCCTCCTCGTTGGCTGGTGTTTCTCAACCTCCTTTCGGGTTCCCTTTCATCCCTGAGTTCAATGTTTGACGTTCTTTACTTTTCTCTTGCTCCCTAGTAATTTCATGCACTCCCATGTTGTAAAGTCTCTTTGTACAATATTAACTCCCAAATTTTATCTCCAGCCAATACCTGAGTTCCAAACATAAATACTCAGCTACTGTTTTGACATTTCTACTTTAATATCTGATAAGGTTACTAAAATTTTAAACCAAACTATTAACTTCATCCTCAAACTTACTTCTCTCCCATCTCTCTTATCTCAGAAAACAGCAACTTCAATACTGTACTTCTTCAGATTAAAAATTTAAATCATACTTGCTTCTGTTCTTTCTCTCAAGTTCCACATTGAGTCCCTCAGTAAGTCCCTCTGGCAATATTTTAAAGATGCACCCCAAAATCTGAGCTCTTCTCACCAACTCCACTATTACCATATCAAGAGCAGCTGGGAACATTTCCTTCTAAACTAACTGCAACCACCTCCTTACTGAACTTTTTGCTTCCAGTAGAGAGCATTCCACCCTCACTCCCAGCACTCACAGCTCATTCCTCACGTAACAGCCAGGATGATCTTTTACAAATGTAAACCACATCTTGTCATTTCCTGGCAGGAAATACTCTAGCAGATTTTCACCTAACTCAGTAAAGCCCCAAGTGACAGCGCAGCCTGCAGGGTCCTATGTCTTCTAGTTTGTCTTCCTCTCTGATTTAAACGTATACCATTCTCTCCCTTGCTCACGATATTCCAGCCCTCTGGGCTTTGCTCTCTGCCTCAGCTACACAAAGCTCATTCCAATATTAAGGCTTTTACTCTTAGTATTTTTCTTTTTTTTCAATCTGTTTTATTGTATAAGCCTAGAACTCCTTTTCACCTATAAACAAACTATTTTTTGCAGTTTATTTTTTTTTGTGGGGGGTGTAACTAGGCTTATTTATTTATTATTTATTTTTAATGGAGGTACTGGGGATTGAACCCAGGACCTCATGCATGCTGAGCACCCACTCTACCACTGTACCCTCCCCCTTAGTATTCTTTAAATGCCCTCCCTCTCCGAATTCACCGTATGCCTCAGTCTTAATTTCATTTGAGAATCTGCTCTACTCTTTCTTCTTCAGAGACTTCCTAAATCACTCTATTTAAAATATGATATTTACCACAACCCTGCTACTCTTGCAATGCCTATCAAGCTTTATTTTTCTCTGTAGCTCTGAAACATTATTACACAGTTACTTATTTGTCTTTGTCTCCCATGAGGATATAAACTCAATGAGAATGAAAGATCCTATTTGCTTCATCAATATAAAACCAGCTCCCAGAGCAGTTCACGGCCTTCTCTAAGCTTTCGATAAATGTTTGTCAAACAAGGAAAAGTCCAAGGAACAGCTCTTAATTCCTTAGAAACAAAGACTCTTTAAGGTTTGTGAAAGTTCTTGATTAGAAGCATAATTTAAATTAATTATCAACTTTCTATAGACACATGCCACAGAGGATCGGATCTCCATAAAAACTTTAAAAAGTTATGGAGCATTTTGTCTGATTTCCTAATCTATCTTTTCACAGACTGAAGAGAAACTAGACAAGCTCAATAAGACTTACTGTTCATGAATCTACACATATTTCACAAAAACTATCTGTCTAAATACTTCCAATATTTTCCTTATATATATAATACATTTTTACATGTGTACCATAGTAGAATCGCTCTTAAATAATCCTATGTAAATCAGTATGCATAATCATACAGCACAACTGGAATTTTGTTAATGTACAAAATCAGAATGCCTACCTGATTATCGGAGAGCCACATAGCAGTCAATTGCTGTAGCTTTGTAAAGCTAAAGGGCAAATTCTTTAATCTGTGGGAAAAAATACGAACAAAAATTAAACTTTAAGATGAGAAATGTTAAAATGAGAGCTAAATCTGATGGTTTTCTAAACAATGTTGTATTACTGCATATGAAAATAGGAAAAAAAATAGTTAATTCAGAAGAAAACACAATATAGGTGTCTGAACAGGACATAAGACAAACTACTACCCAGTTTCATAGGAATTAATTTTAAATATATAATTCTTTAATTGAATCAACTTGGTTAGGGGGTAAAATGGAAAATCTAGTATCTTCAAAAAAAATTATCTGCTCAGTAAAATTGTTAACTATCCCTACCTCAATGCAAAGGAAAGAACAAATTAAGCAATGTCTCATAAAGTTGCTTTGGATATTTTAGTTGCATTTAAAGAGAACAAACTGTTACAGGAAGCACTCTTAGTAAGAATTTGTTATAAATACTTCATCCTCTTTATTTCATCGTGAGTCAGTACGTTCATACTCAAGAAGACTATTTTAATACCAAAATGAATAAAAACAAACAGGAATACATAGTAGAACACTGAATTAGAATAGCATCCAACTTAAAACAGAACATCTACTTACACCCTCTATCTTATGTCTATCTACTCTTCTATGCCTGACTTTCAAGGAACCTAGGGAATCTAGGTCTCCATAAACCTAGAGTGCTAGAATTTAGGCCTTAGTTTTGGGGTACAAAAGACGGGCTGAAACAGGGATTTAATTTTTAAAAGGCAGGCAGTGATTCTTCTTAAATAAAAGTCTGAATATCCTAACTAATCAGAAAACTGAGTTTAAAGTTCTACCTTACAGGCTGTGTGAATCATCTTAAATCTGAGTCTTAACATTCAACTCCATAAAATGCTAATACCCATTTCATTATTTCATCGGGCTATTTCGAGTACTTCATAAGATACTATTAAAGCAAAATATAAAAAAGCTCTATAAATGCTCTTTTATCATTATTAGTATTTTTACATCAGGAAAAATTATGGACGATCTCTTCTTAAACACTGTTTCAATTTAGCATCCTTACTGATCTATTCGCTCTGCACCTTGGATGTGCTGTCCAGGTTATTTGAGTGGGTGTCTGTCTAATCACACCTCTGCCCTGATTAATACAAGGAGTAGATTAGATTAAAAGTTGTTCTATTCAACAGGATTACTGAGTGAAGATCTGACTTCAGGAATAAAGATGGCTACTGTAAGGAGAGAACAAAGACTGTATGGCTAAAGTCAACACACAGCGAACTGTGGCAAATAATCCCAGTATAATAATTAACTTCAGATAAAATCAAATCATCTTCTCAAAGGAAAATTCTACCCAGAAAACAAACATTTATATGAAAAGAAAAACGTGTATTGTATTTTCTATCACATAAAATGAAACTGAATTTCATCTAACAGGTATCTTCTATAAACCAACTGATGAGTTACATTGTTACAAACCTGTTGTCACTCAAGTTAATGACTTTTAATTTTTGCATATCACCCATTTCCTCTGGAAGTGTCTCAAGTTTATTGGAATGGAGAAACAGCACAGTTATATTTTTCCAGCTTCCAATCTGAAAGAAAAACATAAAATTGGGAACTGAAACTTTGGCCTACTGCCTAACAGACAGTAAGTATCATTTTCAAAAGTTATAAAAAAAAAAAACTCTCCTCATTTATAAACAGAATTATATTTTCCCTTTTCAATTATTAACTTTCATGTATGAAGAAAAGTATTTAAGTATCTCTTGCAAATAAACATAGTTAATTATTCAAAAGTTAAATAACTTAGTTACATAATTATTTCTGAAAGAAAATGAAGAAAACTACACTGGATAGCTATCATAAATAATTGGAAAAAATAAAAATTCAAAACAAATTTAAAAAACTGTACCTCTGGGGGTAACTGTTGTAAGTAATTATGATCTGCAGCAAAGGTTCTTATATTAGTAAGCTGCCCAATAGATGAAGGCAAAGCTTCAACTTCATTGAAGCTACAATCCAGTTCTTCTATTGATATTAACCTTTAATTAAAAAGAAAACACAGTTAAAAAAAGATTTCCTGTATATAATGCAAAACTTAAGAACATACAAACATTTGAATCTGACTTTTAACAAACCTAGAAAAAAATCTATTTCCACTAAGCTAAGTTTCACCAATAAAAATTGGCCTACTTTTACTATAAATTAACCCAACCTGCAACCAATTGCTTATTTAAATGTTTTTGGAATTTCCTTCACATGCTATTTATGCAATTATCTGAAAAACAAAAAACAAAAAACAAAACATGGCATGATGAACTAAAAGCAAAATCTTTTAGTTCTATTAATTCACAAAAATCTTACCCTCCTATAGAATCTGGTAGATACATTAACTGATTTTCATCTATTTTAAGAGTTGTTACATTCTTCAGTGAACCTATTGAGGAAAGAAATAATATACAATTTTCCATCTTGAACTAGAAGCAAGTCAATGAACAGTCAATTTGAACATATTACATTTGACATGAATCATAAAAAACATTTAAAAAAAAAAATCAGCCTATCTAGGAGATACCACCCCAACCCATCAACTCTCCATTCCCTTACCCTGTATCATCAATTTTCACCCTTAACATATCACGTCTTAACATTAGTGTATATTTATCTATTTAACCCTCACTAAAATGTAAGCCTCAAAGAGTATGGACTTTTTGTCTCCTTTGTTCACAGCTGTAGCCCCGCTCCTTAAAACAATGCCATGACAGCACAGTGAAGACAAACAATACAAACTTGTGGTGTTACTGGATTAAAGAAGTAGCAGCATGAAGGTAGCTTTCACAAGTGTAAAACCAACTATTCTAAATATTGTATGTATACTAAATACTTAAAGAATAAAATGGAGTTTAGCGTAAAGTTAAAAGTGTTGAATAAATTACGGTAGAATTTGCAAAATGTAACCTGAGATAAAACAGTTGTGTAAGTCAACTGAAAAATATGTAAAAATATTTTTGATTCTTATATTCAAAAATCATGCAGATGGCAAAGAATTTAAGTTTTTGGTTCTTTAATAAAATAATTAAATTCCCCTGATGCATCACCAGACAAGCAGCTACACAAATATAGCTGGCCTTTGAACAACACAGGTATGAACTGCATGGGTCCATTTACACGTGGATTTTTTCAACAGTAAATACTACAGTACTGCATGACCCACAGTTGGTTGAATCCAAAGATACAGAACCACGGATAGGGAGGAACTGAATGTAAATACCGAAGTCCAACTATAAGTGACATGAGATTACCAGCTGTGCAGAGGGTTGTCCCCCTAACTCTCTCATTGTTCAAGGGTCAACTGTACAGACTTACATAGGATTTGTTGAATTGATCTGTCTTCTTGTCTATTAGTCTAAGATGAAATCAAGACTGAAAAAGTTACTAGGTAAGGGCTATGTTCAATAGTTAAATCAATTCTGGATAAATTAACCCTTCTGAAGAATTTAAATTTTACTACAGGGATAAAAATAAAATTTTCTTAAAGAAAAACAGTAATATCAACAAGAGTGACCTATATAACTGATTACATCAGGAAACTCAAATAGGATCTGTTACTGCAGAGTACAGTAAAACTACCTCATAATAAATAAAATGATATATGGAGGTTCTGAACCAAGCAACGGCAAAAAGTTTCTTAGATTTTACATTAGTAAAAATTAATCACATGAATTAGAAACCAGTACAAACCAATAGTCTCAGGCAGTTGCTGAAGTGAATTGCTTGATAATAGGAGGTCTTGAAGGTTTTCACATGCTGAAATTCCTTCTTCAATCATTTCAATATTGTTTTTAGAAACATCCAAATAAGTAAGCTGTTTCAAGCCACCGATAAACTGTAAGTAAAAAAAAAAGGAAATCTAATGACTTCAGCCATAAGCTGTCAAAAGTTTAGATAATAAACCTAACACCAATTTACAATTGTATATATGTGAGAGCATTCATAAATTTTTTAAAAATCCCATTGGGACTGTATTCAGTAATAAAGCCAAGAGCTCCTACTAACTTAAGCCCAGCAGAGTGATGACATATATTTTTCTTTGGAACTTTGCTGACCATCATTGGTCACAGAGATAGCACATACGGAGATTCATATGACTTAAGGTCTGAGAGTGAACAAAATGTCAGCTGCTAAAAAAGCTACATGGAAAACAGCCTACTTTAACAACGAATTCGGATATAAATCAACTGCAACTGCTGCGAAGGACAAAATTCACAGCACTAAGAAGAGACCATAGCTGACCCATGAACAACATAGGTTTGAACTCCACATGGATTATTTTCCAATAGTAATTGTTACACTACTATGGTTGGTTGAATCTGTGGATGCAGAACCTCAGATCCAGAGGAACTGTGGATAGGGAGGGCCAACTGTAAGTTATACACAGATTTTCACTGTGCAGATGGTGGGTGTCCCTAACCCGTGAGTTGTTCAAGGGTCAATTGCATTTTACCAAAATTTATGGAAATTTTCTGATTTTAATCAAGAATATGTTGACAGTTAAAAAAATGTAATTTGCTTCTATCTGTCAAATAGTATTAAGAATTAAATAACCCTTTTTAAACTAATTAAAACTTATATGAAAATGTATAATTCACAAAAATGCAAAGGATAGACAGTAATAATGGAAGTTATTTAAAATGTGAGAATACATACCCCTGGAATAAAAGTCAGTCTATTACCATCCATCCAAAATTCCTTCAATCCACTTAGCTGCTCAAGTACTTCAGGCTGTTTAGATAAGGGGGGGGTGGGAACCATTAATTTACTTACTTACATTTAATTACTAAGAAACTCAAAGATAGACATTCCATAACAGTAGATTGCATAAAACTCATTTAAGCTTTTGATGACATAACAGGGTCAAGTATTTATACAATTAATAAAGAAAATAAGACCCAGTACTTTCAAGAGTACAATAAAAAGTTACTCTCAATCATTATTTGTAGAAAGATGCAGACTTTTAGAAAACCTTAAAAGAACATACACACACATACAAAGATAGTCCTTGGTGACTGAGAGAGAGGAAAAAAAGAAATAAGGCAATATACATTTTAAATGTCCAATATCAAGGGAAAGATAAGTAAACCAGGGCATAATCATACAATCAGCATATTGTCCTATGTTACGCTTCTAGTAATTACATGGTGGAATATTGCTTATAATCTGATGTTGAGGACCAAAAAATTAAAGAGTTGTAGTGGACCTTGGTATTCAAGCAAAATCTGATCCTGGGCATTCATTCTTGGAGGCTCCCCTGAATGTGTCCTTCGAAGATATTTCTGTCACCCCACAAATTTGTGTCCAAACACTGACACTGTGATGGCATGGAGTGCTATCAGCTCTAATGACCATAATAACATGAATAATACAGAAAAAGGTCATTCAGACTTACTGTTAACATATAAATATAGGTAAGAATTCTAGGTGTAACTTGGATTTAAAATAATTCTCTTTTGTGCTTTACCTGTTACAATTCTAATAATAATTTTTTTAAATGTGTAATGTTAGATCTTGATATAAAAATAATAATTCTGATTCATAAAATTAATAATTTAGAATTTTCCAATAGTTAATACAGAAACAGATTAATACATACAAAACAAATACTGAGAAAGAATATGACAGCTGGATAAATTTACAAAGCATAGAATATGCATTTTTTTTCACAAGGAGTAAAAATTTGTACAACACATAGTAAAATGCACCACACAAAATCTTCAATTAAAATAAAGAATATGAAAGAGAATATTTTAGAAAAACCACGAGATACCCAAAACCACTTCTTCTCCAGTGACGTCAGCTGAAAACCTGTCTACTTTGTGAGCAAATATACAATTCAATACCCACAGGGTAACCATGCAGCTGACAGTGATGAGAAATTCTGTTCTTAAGACTATCATTTGAAATTTACCACAATTTAAAAAAACAAATTTGAAAATATAATGTAAACATTCTAATGATGATGATGTTCAGGTTAATGAATTCCTCTTCAAAAAACAATCTGGCTTATTTTCTGAGTTCTCTTGGAGAAACAACTGAAGACCAAAAAAACTGCTTACGTACCACTACTTCCCTTTTTGATTCAGCATCAAGGTTCACTTTGCATACAAAGTAAAAACACCACACAGAGGTCTCATTATCAACTCACAAAGTAACAGCTGTTTCACTCAGTGTTTTCCCTGCTTTTAAGTAAAATTATAAAGAAGTGTTTTATCACTGAATAAATCCCTAAACAATACTCCTGGAGTCATTTTTGACTCAAAAGTATATTTCCTGATGCATTTTAGTTCGATGGAACTTTTCCCCTTATTTTTACTTCTTGTGCTTAAAAACTTTTATTACCTTTACCATGGGTTTCTCATTAATCTTACATTTTTACCCTCATTCCTGTTACACGTTTTTATCCGTTTTATTTTCTCTATTAAGAACCTTCATACCTTGTCTCTCCAAAATATGTGTAGATCTTTACTCAATTTTATACTTTAACAATGCAGAGAAATAAATACATTAGTTTTCACATTTTGTTCTTGGTCAAATATAAGACTTAAAGATGCTGAGGTTGGTGAGAACTTACCACTTCTGTGAATTCATTACTTCCCAAATCCAGTCTTTCCAGCTGGGTCAGTCTATTCATGGTTCTATGTACAATGGATGAATAAAGAATTAAGTATATATATAAAAACATCAATTACATGGAAGTTTTTAAAATTAATACCATAAAATATTCTAATGTATTATCTGATGATGCAAAGGCTTTCAAATGGTAACAAAGTAAAAATAATTTTCTAAGAAAAAAGTCATATTTAAGTTCTAAATAAAATAAAGTAAGTTCTTTAATTTTGGCTTTTCATCAGGTTATTTCTATTCTTAAGTAACTGCAGTAATTTAAACCCACAGGCCAGAATATGAGTAACAGCTTTTCATTTTTTCCACAGAACAAATTTTCAGATATAATAAATCAACTAATGATTAGACTGTTTGGCAGCTTCATATTAATTACTACCATTTTTCAAGACTGGTCATATATTTGTAAAACTTCAAGGTAACACTGAAAATTAAAATTCAGAATTTTAGTAGACATTACATTGTTCGCTACGTTTTCAAAATAAATTCAATACAATACATAATAAAGTTTTATACAAATGACAAACATAATTAGTAGATGGTATTTATTTTAAATTTAAGCTACAATACATCATTTTTAAATTTCCAACTCAATACCAACATTTCTCTGCAACTACAGAAACTTAAAAATGTACAAATTGATTTCAAATGAAATAAACCAAGTTGTACCTTTATCTCTCATCAATAAAGGCATTTTTTAAACTAAAAAAACTGCTCATTAATTCAAGCACATATTTATACTTCTGAAATTTTTTATAAAAACCTATTATTTAATAGATTAAAGTACTACCAGTTTCCCAGATAAGGAATTACATTAATTTTATTTTTAGGATATGACAGAATGATAGCAAAATACAAGCATATTATCAATATATTGTTAATAATTAGGAAATAAACATCATTAAAAACCAACGGGTTCCTTAAATTATGACACAAGAATACAGACTTCATATCTTCTCTTGAAATTTAACAATTTAAAAATAATAAGTAAAACTCACTTAAAACATTTTTCTGCCTTTTCAGAGAAAAAAAGTTAAGAATGTATATCATAACTGTAATGTCATTATGTTACTGATCTAACAGAGGAAGCTAATTTTCCCCACTCCTTCCATTCTATCAACACTCCTTTAATTTAACTGATCCCACAACACCAATTTTTTTCAAAGCTTCTTTATTTAACTTAGGTTTACTGAGTGGCTATTCTCGGGTTCTATGAGGTACTATAATTCTTCTTCCATTATTCGTATCTGTCTTTGTCCAGAAAACCTGTAAGTCAGTTCCAGTTTGCTTCATAACAAAGCAAAGATTTTTCTAGGACCTTTCCCAAGAAAAGATTATAGACACTATGATATTAAACTCCTATGTCCATAATACTATACCAGATGGACATTTGAGAAAGATAAAAAGGGTTGTGAGGAGGGGTAAGATTGAAAGAAGAAAACATAATCTTGTTTTTTTTAATTCAATATTCTTATAACGGTAACAGAAAAATTCACACGCAGCAATTAAGCATTGCATCAACAAAGGTAAGTTATTTTAAAAAGGGTTCAAAAAGAAAAGCAGTGTAATGGAAAATTCAATACAAACAACATCCTTAGAAAGTTAAGTTTTAAAACTGATTTCAGAAAATGTGAATGACACAGATATGTAACAAAAAAGAAATATACTGCAAAACCCTAAAGCATCTCCATCTCAACTTGCTGCAGCTAACATTGGCAACTTTGGTCCTACTCATACACCATAAAAATCTACCTAAGACACAAAATTTCATCTTTTTTATTTTCATTTCACTTTCACGCCTTTTCATTTAAGATCCAGCTCCCTACTTCAAGGAGAAAGTAAAAACAATATCCCTCACATTTTCTCCTGTTTACCTCTAAAATTCCTCTGTACTTAACTCATTTTTACCTTTTCTTCTCCTGTTTCAGAGGAAAAATATGTATTCTTGGTGTTCTTAGTATTTTCCCCTTCAGGATTAAGACAGTATTGAATTTTATTTAACTACATATTTAAAACAGCTTTCCCACTGTTCTAATCTCTGATCATAAAAAGGTCCACTCACATAAACTGAATGCATATGACTTTCCTAACATTTAAAACTATGGCTTCTTTCTCGTTTGTGAGCCCTCAAATATTTTAATCATAAGTCTTAAAATGAAACCAGGAAAGGACTTATGTGTAAATATACTGACAGAGCCCAATCTGTAGTTAAAATGTAAGAAGCTAAGACAACTGAATTACCTATAATATCAGAGACATCACATTAATTGTAGGCTTATCTATTTCAGTAAACAATTTACATTTTAGTTATTCAAATCCCTTAGCAGCCAAATTCTGAGCTAAGAATCAAACCTTAAAAATCTTAACCTTTTTTGAATTTTAATACAGATAATTCCCATTTTAATTTATACTCACAACCATCACTATAAATTCCAATCATCCCAGTCTTTGGGGAATCAAAACTAGATATGCTCTTTGCCCTCAGACTTACATTCACGGTGGAGAGAGAAGGAAGGATCAAGTACATGTGCATATGTTAATACATTATGGGTCAGGTAGGAAGAAAGCAAAGTGTATTTTAAAAATTAGACTAATGTGGTTAATGTCATAATGGATATAAGTAAGATGCCACAGTAGTTTAATAAACAGAACAACCAACTACTGGAGAACTGGAGATGCTTCAATAAAGAGATGCAACAAACTCTTGACAAATAAATTATAACAGGAATCTGAAAAGTTTTTTATACAGGTAGTAAATATTTTAGACTCTTCCCAAAGTCTCTGCACAACTCCTTGACTCTTACCACTGGAGAGCAAAAGCAGCCACAGGCAATATGTAAAAGAATGAATGTGATTCTAATGAAAATTTATTTACAAAAAACAGGTGGTGGGCCATATTTTACCAGTCTGTAATTTGCCACTGCCTAGTCTGTAAAACTGTAGCAATTAATTCAGGGTGTTTTAAGACGTTTCTTCAATAAATGGACAGAGTGCAGTCAGTGCATTTAGAGTTTGTAGATCTGCTCTATCTTACTTGCTCTTGGACTGTCAGCTCTTCTTGACATTAGCTTACCAGTAGGGGGCCCTCCACCCCACTTCTAATTTACAACAGACTACAAAACCAGGCAAGTTCTTAGAATTACGGTCATTAGACTTCACACGAAGACTTCAGGAATCTCTATGTAAGAGCTCTAGACCTTTATTTGAGACTCAGGTGAGCTTTATCTACTTATTGTTTTGACTTTTGTCACACAAGACTGAGTTCCAGAGAGCTATGAAATCTCTATTAAATACCAACAAATCTATAGATTTTTGTACTGAACACCAGTAACTAAAATATATGACCATGGATGTCAGTTTTTTAGAATAATTTGCACTCATATTTTAGATATTAAAATGCTACTATTCCTCTAAGGATTTAAGAATTTAAAATTCTGTATGTAAAGTAAGCACAATTTGTCCTTTATGATTCGATTATCACATTCTGTTGATTCTTATTTTGTGGTTGGCTACATTCCTTTGATAACTATGTTAAGTTTAAAAAGCTAAAGCTCTAATCTGTTCTAAGAAACAATGATCAGTACACATACATAAACTAAAAAAATGTGCAATATTATTATATATATGTATTTACATGCAATATAATGTATAAGTGCAAACTGTAATAATTGAACATAATAAAACTGAAAAAGAAAAAAATTTTTCAAGAAAAAGAATTTAAAATTCTTACCTAAATTTCAGAAGGAAAGCACTATTACTTACTTTGGCAACATTTTCAACTGGTTTTCTCTAAGTTCTAGTATCTGGAGTTTAGTTAATCTGCAAAACAAAGAAAATAAATCATCTATGACAAAGATGAAGAATTTAATTAACAAATTAATACCATACTCTAAAATTTTAAAGCAACCAATATTTATTGTGTAATTACAATGTGCAGAATACTATATTAAAAATTACACAGGAATACAAAGAAACATAAAGGAAGACTCCTCAGAATTGCCTGGAGGGGCAGGGGATGGGGGGAAGAGGTAAACACTTCTAGACATATTCAAAGCACAATCCTAGTGCATTTCATGCCTTTTTGTGAAAATGCCTCCCCAAATTATGAGTCATTAGTACACTAGAGAACAATATTTCAACTCAAGAGTTCAGCTCTGAGAGAGAAAAATAAAAGGGCATGGAAAAGGAGAAATCCTCTGGCATTCCAGTGATACACATTCCAATAAAACTACAGGATAATTATGAGCAGATTAAGTGATCCAGAGGTGCTAACTAATGCTACAATGGCAATCACATTACAATATATAAATGTATGAAAGTCAACATTTTGGATACTTTAAACTTATACAATGATATGTGTCAAGTATATTTCAATCAAAAAAAAAGTGGTCTAAATGCCAGATACAGAAGAGAAATCTGAAAAGTACATGAAATATATACACGTGTATACACATACATATAACATGTGTGCATGTACACACACATATATGTATATAAATATACAAAGCATGATAATGTGACTCCCGTAGGACTGTCACTGGGCTGCTACAATGCCCAGAATTCTTTTTTCTTCATTGAAATATAATTGACTACAACATTATATTAGTTACAGGTGTACAACATAATCATTCAATATTTGTATATGCGGTTGAATCTTGAACAACATGGGTTTGAATTGTGCATTTCCACTTTTACATGAATTTTTTTCAGTACTAAATATTACAGTACTATACGATCCATAATTGACTGAATCCACAGATTGGGAACCTCAGATACTGAAAACTGTGGGTACAGGGGACTGATTATAAGTTACGTGTGGAATTCCAATGGTGCAGAGGATCAGCATCCCAACCCCTTCATTGTTCCAGGGTCAACTGTGTTGTGAAATGATCACCACAATAAGTCTACTTAACATCTGTCACCATGTATAGTAACCAAAATATTTTTTTCCTTGAGATAAGAACTTTTAAGATCTACTCTCAGAAATTTTCAACTACAGTCACCATGTTGTACATTACATCCCCACAATTTACTTATTTTTTTAAGTGGAAGTCTGTACCTTTGACCACATTTTTGTCCCTCATCCCCCTGCCCCCACCACCTCTGGCAACCACCAATCTGTTCTCTGTATCTGTGAGCTTGGGGTTTTTTCATGCTTTTTCAGACTTCACATATAAGTGACATCATGTGGTATTTGTCTTTAAGACAAAAAGATGACTATAATATTAGTATATTCTTGGAAAGCACTTTCTCTAGTAATTAATTTAAATACAAAAATAATTTGATACCTATTGTTCATTTATTCAATCATCTTTTCATTATAAAGGTTACTCAGTGACTATATATTTTTTATTTCTTTGTTTGTTTGTTTGTTTGTTTTCTTAGTAGAGGCACTAGGGATTGAACCCAGGACCTTGTGCATGCTAAGCGTGCACTCTACCACTGACTTATACCCTCCTCCTTACTCAGTGACTGTAATATAACAAAAACAGTTCTCAGTAAGGTATTGGGGGTGTGTACGGGTTGGGGAGCAATGGGGTGAACCCCAGAAACACATTTTTCTTTCCTCCAGAACTTTAAGTAAAGGCAGATAAACCAGTAATTAGATCATTTTCAAAAGTGATAAAGTCTAAGAATAAAGCATTCTATCTCAAATATACAGAAAGCATCCCCATTTAAACTATTTTTATGTACTTTAAAAACCAATTCAAATTTTAAAACACTTTTTTCTTTTAAATTTTCACTGTTTACTGCTTACTTGGGAAAATAAATTCGAAGTCAAAACAAGTTCTGAAAGAACTATAAAAACCACAATGCTTTGAAATAATTACAGAACAAGAGCCTATGAAACTGTAATTAATAATGTTACTAAAGGAATTTATAGTTTTGTAAATTTTACAGGAACTAAAAAGAAAAGGTTTTAGAAGAAACTATAATTTACCTGCCAAAATTAGCTGGCAAGAACTCAAGGAAAGCATCATTCAGGTACAACTGGGTTAGGTTCAACAGCTGAGAAAACCCGTCAGGAAGCCTACATAAAACATACCAGAATTTAAATTAAATTCATATGCAGAATTTTAGTTTCTTATTAAAAATCTGCCTAAGAAACTGTCTAAGCAACACATGTTCTTAACAAGTAATAGTCATCTCTTTACTTTTATGAGTGATCTTCAAATTTAGATTTGCCTTTTGTACTAACTTACCTGTTTAAAAGTTTACACCTTCACCTTTTTGTAAAAACAATACTTGTCTCAATAAAATCTACACAAGAGAGTCAACTATGAATGAGCCACAACACACAGAAATGTATCTCAGACATAACTATAACGTCAACAGGAACACTTAAAATTCTCCTGATCTAACATCAATCCAAAGGACTAGATAAGGAATTCTAAACTTGTACAGTATTGACTTTTGGGGCTGGATAACTCTTTGCTGCTAGGAGGCTGTCTTCTGTATTGTAGGATGTTTATCAGAAACCCTAGCCTCCAGATCACTAGAAGCCAACAGTACTGCCCACCACCACAGGTTGTGGAAACCAAAAACATCTCCAGAATTTATCAAATAATCGTTAAAGGCAATATGGGGTCCCCACTAATTTAGATCATTTTCAATTTTAATATTCAGCCTCTGAATATTGTACAATTTTATAATAAGCAAATGAGAAGAAATAATATTAAAAGCTGAATAACATTTTAAGGTCATATATGAATCTACAAATAGCTTTAATTTCCTCTGGCTTATAAAACAAATTACAGATCTAGAACTTGATGCTAGACCAGTATTTTCAGATGAAGGTAAAACATTATCTTTCCATGTTTGTCTTGGATTTTAACAAGTATAAAAATGTCTTGAAGTAAGATAGATAAGCCTTTGACTCCTATTCTTTCTCCCCTCCATATTCCCTCACAAGCGAAATGGCTGTATGCTTGGAAAAACTCATTAAATACAGCATTATAGTAATGTGAAAGCTGGTTTCAACTTTCAACTTAGCTATACCAAACTATGCCTCACACTATTCATCGGTTGCTTCACCATTCCATTTTTGCAAAATTTAACAGCTGTGATGCCAGGAAAGTGTTGTTTATAGTCATTATCATCATAAAAGGATATATACGAACACTGGCATATGGTACAACCAATCGCATGGCTTTTCCCTTTTGCTGTTGTTTTTATTTTTGACCTTTCAGTCTCTTTAATTACTTTCAAAAGTCTGAGTGTGCAACACATCAGATTTGCAGGTGAAGACTCACTTATATTGTGCAAGTAACACTGAGATAGGAGACCTGGATTCTAGTCTCATTTCTGACATTAACCATCTGTGAGACCTGAAGAAAAACACTTTCATTATCTGTTTGGATGTCAAATTTATCTTTGTAAAACATAGGGTTAGAAAGATTAATTAAAAAGCTCCATTTTAACAAAGCTAAACTTTTGTTAGACCTTATGGGAATTGAAATAATCCAGGCTATGCTGTTTAAGGCCTGAGGGGGAATGTGTTTCTATGCACTCATTTAAACACCTTGAAACAGATAAAAATATTTCAAGCATTAAAAAAAAACCAAACCACTAAAATTTTGTACAGATTTAAGACTGATACTAATTGTTCATTAAAATGTAGAAAGTAATATTCTACTATTTCATAGTTGCTTTATTCACGAAAGTAGCTTACAATTCAACAGAGAAGAACTTACTTGGAAATAGGATTTACACTGGCCTCCACAATTGTCAAAACTTTACAATTTTTTATATTTTCTGGGAACTCCTGTATTCCTAGAAAATGAACAAATAGTGATCAAATGACAAAGGACACAATCATAACAATACTAATAATTAACATACACCTTTAGATTTGAAATTTACTAACTAAATAGAATCCTGATAAACTGACAACACCAACATCAACCAAACAGAACCACCTCCACAATAAATTTCTCTTTTCTCTTTTGGCACTTTATGATTACCAATTATCTTTTTTCTTTATTAATTTTTTGGGGGGAATTTATTTCTCTCTATTTTATTACACACACACACACACACACACACACACGGAGGTACTGGGGATTGAACCCAGGACCTTGTGCATCGAAGCACACACTACCACTGAGCTATACCCTCCTCTCTCTGCCAATTATCTTAATTAGTTTTACCTTCCTTTCCTTCTCTTAGCTGTTCTGAAAAATCAGTGCCTTCTCTATGTGGTGTTAAGGACACAAAACACAGAACATTTAGCATTCTTTTTGTTTTCCTTAAGTAAAAAGCAGCATTACTTTTTAAATGCTGGGCTCCAGATTGAGCTGGCCTCTAATACATATAATACAGCTGAAAGCAAAGCTTAAGATAGAAGAGGCAGAAAATACGCATCAGATATGCTAGTGGATATGCCTAAGGCAGTTATACACCAAAACTTTCATAAAGTACAACACAAATGTGACAAGTTAAATTACAGTAGTTTCCAAGTACTTACTCTTATTTCCTCGACTTACCTCAGCAAAAATACAGTTAACAATAGATTGTGAACTAGCAAAAATCCATAGACCAACTTTAAGTAGTACTGTTATAATTTAGATTAAAGGAATGCTAACTAATGACTTTAAAAAAAGATTCCAAAAGTTCTGTGTTAACACCTATTCCTCCACTAACACAATATGCTTATCCAACAGGGTTGACAGTAGGGGAATCACTGAAAGGTCTTTCATCTTCATCACTGGATGATTTTAAGTAAGCAAGTTTGCCACAGTGCCAAATATAGAATTTCAGATGATGAAAAAATGAATGACAAAATCATCAACTGGAAAATATTACAGTAATAACTGATCAGCCCAATGGATGTTAATTAGAGGGTAAAACAAAGATGAGAAATAATATATTAATATAGTCTCAAAGTTTCTCCCCAAAGGATAGTTACTAAATTCTAAGAGGGAAAAAGTGAAGACATCTCACAGGCACCACTTAAACTGTTTCAAATCTAGTATCAGCAGTTAACAGCACCATTATGGGCAACTAATGTGAGATGCACTGAGAAGGGGTGCAACATCGACTGTCAAATTCCTGCCCAAAATACCCAATCTGAATTTAATCATAAGTAAACATCAAACTATTCCAAATAAAGGGAAATCCTGTAAAATTGGCCAGTAATCAAAACTGTCCGGGTCAAAAAAGACAAAGGAAAACAAAAGAACTACCCAGGTTAAAAGGAGACCTATGAGACCTAACTCTGATGAATATCTAAACCTACTATACACAACACACACGTCCACTTAAACTGGAAAAACCTGATTAAGAGTGGAGGACTGTATCGATGTCAACATCATTTTGTTCTATAATATTGCAAATACTACCACTGGGGGAAATTAGGTGATAAGTACACCACACCACTCCATAATGTTTCTTAAAACTGCACGTGAACCTACAATTATCTCAAAAAATAAAAAACAAAACAAAACAAAACTAGGCTCAATGATTCCTTAAGGGACATTTTTATCAATGTTGTTATTAAATTCAATTTCCCTAACAGTTTCCAGATAATTTGTTTTTTCAATTTTAGTTTAAGGAACTTTTGCTGGAATGTATGGAGTTCATGTAAATCTTCAAATCAGAAAATATAAACACTGATGGATATCTAATGATAATAAGGAATTAATGTCAGCTTTTATTTTTAAGTGTTATAATAGTAGAGTGGTTTCATCCCGAAGTACTTATATATGAAAGAAGTTGTCTGATTTGCTTTAAAATGATCAGAGGTGGCGAAGTAGGAAGTAAGATGAAACTACAACATACTGATAAATGTTGACTTTGGCTGGTAGGCATATCAGGTTTAATATGTTATTCTTTCTATTTAGATAACAGGATTAACCAAAAACATGATTTTAAAACAGTTGTGGTACTTAAAGGGAAAAAATGAACAAAATACTGGGGAGGAAAAGATTAAATCTAAGAAATAAATGGAAATTTTACAAATGATAAATATAATACCCAAGTGAAAAATCCACGACAGGACTGAAAGACTAGACACTGTAGGAGAAAATTTCATCAAGACAGAAGACAGAAACTAGCAATTCTGAAACACAGAGGGGAAAAAATGAAAAAATATGAAAAAACCTAGTGATACATGGGACAATGTTTAGCAGATTCACATATATTTACCTATCTTTAGAAGTTTGCTTACCAGGCACCACTAAGAATACATGCTCTTTGAGGGGAGAACCTTTGCCTCCCTGTTTGCTACGGGAATAAGATGTAACACATAGTTCTGTGTCACCAGATACTTCCAAATTCTTTTCCCAGATGGCAATACCAATTTTCATATTACAGCACTTATTTACATTCTTGTAGACATTTGATTATGTCTTTACTTTTTGCCAATATAAAGGGTTGAACCTCATCAGAAATAGAAATATTAATTAAAACGAGATATTTTCCTGACATTTTCTAGAGATGCTGGAAATACTTTCATGTCTTTACTTACCTACTTTTTAAATTGAAGTCCAGTTGATTTACAATATTATGTTAGCTTCAAATGTACAGCACAGTGATTGAGCATTTTTACAGATAATACTCTATTACGTTATTACATAATAATGGCTATAATTCCCTATGTTATACAAAATATCCCTGATGCTTATCTATTTTATACATAATACCTTGTATCTCTTAACCCCATATCCCCACCTTGCCCCTTCCCCATCTCTCTCCCTGCTTGTAACCACTAGTTTTCTATTCTGTTTCTGTTTTGCTATGTACATTTGTTTTATTTTTCAGATTCCATATATAAGTGGTATCATACAGTATGTCTTTTTCTGACATTTCACCATGCATAATACTCTCTAGGTCTGTACATGTTGCTGCAAATGGCAAAAATTTCATTCTTTTTTACAGATAAGCAATATTCCATTTTATGTATGTATGTGTGTGCGCACGCTCACGCGCCATGTCTTCTTTATCCATTCATCTGCTGATGGGTACTTGGGTTGCTTCTCACTGATAATTTTTATATCTTCTTCGAATTTCATGTTCACTCTACACTTTTACTGGATTACCTTTTAATTACTGGTTGTAAGCACTTTAGAGAAATACTACTATATCAAATGTTTTCTCACAGCCTGTCATGTATTTCTATTCTGTATTTTGTCATGTAGAAATTTCATTCCTTTACTGCTGTGCTTTATGTATTTGCATAAGAAATATTTTCTATCCTGAAATCATAAAAATATTTTCCTATATTTTCTAATAATTTTAACTTCTTGCTTTCTTATTACCTAACCTATCTGCAATTTATTTTAGTATATACAGGTTAGTTCTGTTTTTACTATTTTCCATATAAAAACACTGCAGCAACACTAATGAAATATTTGTTTTCCTTATTCCACTGATTTGAACAGGCATCTTTATCATATTCCAAATTCTCACATGGTAATGTTTCTGGACAGTCTTTTCCATTACACTCTTCTACTGATCTATTCCACAGTTTTATGTTCTTCCTCTGTTTAGATCATACTGCAGATTTTCTGCTAAGTTCACTTCTACGTATGTGTGATAGACTGATTGTATTAACAATCTCAGTCCCTATACCACCCTCCGCAATGTGATGCACCAGCTCCTCCCCTCAAAATGTGAAGTGTAATTTCCCTAATCTTGATTCTGTTCTGTTCTGGCCACTGAAACATTAGCACAGTTGATGAAATCAAAGGTTTAAAAAAGCTCCCTCATTTCCACTAGCTTTCAGGTTCCTCTTGCCGTCCCATGAGAACATGCTTGGGATGCCTGGGCGAGCCTGATGGAGGATGAAATCCACAACAGAGCTGCTCCTGTCATTCCAGCAAAGGATTCCCAACATTTACATTTAAACAGTTTTTATCTAGTTTTGTTATTAAAGTTTTATTACCCTTATAAACTGAGTTGAGTACTTTCCCCCTTCCTCATCTCTAGAACAGTTCTTATAAATTAAGAGATTTTCCCATTCCATGAGGTTTTGCCAAAGTTGTCCCTAAAACTAGGTGAGCAATTTTTCTCACTACTAATTTGTTTCAGTATTTTCAGTTTTCTACTTCTTCTTGAGTTGGTTTTGGAAATTTTTCATTTCATCTAAGTTTTAAACTTTAGTGGCTTTATAGGATTCATTTTCTTTTGAGTGAAAAATCATTTTTAAATAAAATTAAGGTAATAGGGATGTGAGATGTTGCTTTTAGAGGGAATGAGGGACAGGAATTTTCTTAACAGTAAAATTAAAACTTGACAACCCTATTACAAGTCCCAAAAATGGAACTACTAAAAAGCATTCCTTTTACCTGGACATTAAACATTTCAAATGTATATTTTAGGGCACTTATTCAATGAATTACTTAATAGTATCTATTTGCTTCTTATATTACTGGTAATAGGTCTTATTTAGGCAGACTCAAGTCTCTGTTCTAAACACATGTAACTGTTTAGTACACTGTACTTTTGTACAACAATGGTTAAATTTGACTTACCTGCCAATAATAACATCTCTATTATTTACACTAATTTTTCTTCCTTCTTTTCTTCCATTTATGTACATACAAAATATTTAATGTTACTGAATCTTACAAATTTAGGAGTTAATTTCCTATCAACTAACAAATTATTTGTCTCAAGTGATAATTCTACTAAGGATACATTAAAATAAACCTCCTAATACACTAAAATAGCACCCTTTTGCTAAACTGGCTACACATATTTTTAGGAGGGTGACTGCCAGGCCTAAGGGATATATATTTGATGGCAGCAGGGCAGATGTGGCAACAAAGAGAAATAGAGTAAAAAAAGGAAAAGGTTTGGAGTACTATGAAAAAGGTGCTATGAACACTTTTTGAAAATTACTATATTTAATTTCAAATGGTATGTATTTCATTTCTCTTGAGTAAACACCAAAGAATAGAATTACTGAGTTTGTCATATGCCTGCTGATGTGGTGAATAACACTGATTCATTTTCAAATATCAAACCAGCCTTGAATGCCCAGAATGGGTCAGTCCCACTTGGTTGTGCTGAATAATTCTTACCACACTTACAAAAAAAAAAAAAAATCCACACTTACAGGGAGGGTGGGGGAAGGGCATTCTATACTGTTCTCATTTGAGCCACATTTCATTTTAAAAGTTAATAAAAGCCAATAAAATGAGCTATATAGCAAAGTCTATAATGTATCTTGAAATAGTATACATAAATCCTATCATTCCAAGAGCTATAATAATTTCAGTACATGATAAAGTCTATCTAAGGAGAAAAAGACCAAACACTATAGTATGTTCTACTGACCTAAAATTTTATATAAAGAAAGAATAACCTTAAGAGTTCTATGTCAAGACTTCTACAATTTTAATATTTAATGGAAACTAATGCTTGCATCATCTTCCATAAATACAAACATATACTTCATTATTTTTCAAATTTTAAAGTACTTTATTCCATAGCATGTGGTTTATAAAAAGTAACCAATAAGTATCTGTGAAATTAGTAATTCTAAATCATCTTCACTTCCAGATAAGTAGTAGTAATTTTGTCCTAAGGAAGTAGTTTTGAAATAATCATTGGTTTTCTGCTTTTACAAGTTGCCAGCAATGTATTTACTATGAGTTCAGTTCTTACCATACATATGTTCAGGTTCCAAATCTGTACCTCCGACTCCCTCCCCTCTCCTTAACTCCAGGTAACAATTTTCAAATGCCCTTTAGGTATTGTTCAGGTACCTTAAATAAAATATATCCCAAACTAAAATTACCTAGTCTCTGTATTATTTAGCAAATATGTACCAACTAATACACACACAGTGCCAGACACTATGCTATGGACTGTAGGTACTGAGACATAGTTCCTTTTCTTGAGAGCTAAAATGTAGCAAGGAAAACAAGTATTTTCCTTCTAATGGTTTCCTTCCTTCCTCAGCAGTGTTCCTTCTTAGTATCTTCTGAAACTTTCTCCTTCCTCCAGATCTCTTTAGGCCTCGTTTCTTTCATACTCACACCCTTGATGATTGTATCTAATCTCAGGCTTTATATACCATCTATATGCTGGCAACTCCCAAATATGTATAGCTAGCACACTTTCCTCTTGATTGAACTCCAAACTCCTATTAACATTTGGATATCTTATCTTAAATGTAACATGTCCTAAAATAAGCTGATTTTTTCCATTAAAAATTACAACTCCCATAGATGCCCCCATCTCAGCTGGCACCAGCTCTATCCTTCCACATGCATGATAGACCAATACCACTGAGATCTCCTTGACTCTTATCTCACATCCCACATCAAAACCAGCACGAAATCGTGCTAACTCAATCCTCAGGTGTTTCTAGAGTCTGTCTACGTCTGATAACTTCCACCACTATCACCAGAGGTGACAGAAGAGCACCTAAAGTGGTTACTTTTCACCCTTGTACCATAGTGCTCCTGCACAGAGTAAATCTTTAAAATCCAAGTCCAGCTCATGCTCTAAATGGAAGTAAATGCCAAAGTACATGTATGTCATCTTCAATTTCTTTCATTAGTGTCTTATAGTTTTTGGAGTACAGGTCCTTTGCCTCCATGGGTAGGTTTATCGCTAGGTATTTCATTCTTTTTGGTGTGATGGTAAATGGGATTGTTTCCTTAATTTCTTTTTCTGTTATTTCGTTGTTACTGTTTAGAAATGCAACGGATTTCTGTATATTAGTTTTGTATCCTGCAACTTTACCAAATTCACTGATGAGCTCTAGTAGTTTTCTGGTCACTTCTTTAGGGTTTTCTATGAAAAGTATCATGTCATCCATGAACAGTGACAGTTTTACTTCCGCTTTTCCAATTTGGATTCCCTTTATTTCTTTTTCTTCTCTAATTGCTAAGGTTAGGACTTTCAAAATTACATTGAATAAAAGTGGTGAGAGTGGGCATCCTTGTCTTGTTCCTGATCTTACAGGGAATGCTTTCAGCTTTTCACCATTGAGTATGGTGTTAGCTGTGGGTCTGACATATATAGCATTATTATGTTGAGGTGTATTCCCTCTATGCCCACTTTCTGGAGAGTTTTTATCATAAATTTATGTTGAATTTTCTCAAAAGCTTTTTCTGCATCTATTGAGATAATCATTAATTAATTAATGTGGTGTATCATATTGATTGATTTGCAGATATTGAAAAATCCTTGCATCCCCGGGATAAATCCCACTTGGGGAAGAAAACTGAATTTGAAAACACACATGCAATTCAATGTTCACAGCAGCACTATTGGCCAAGACATGGAAACAACCCAAATGTCCATCAACAGATTACTAGATAAAGAAGATGTGTTTACACACACAGAGAGAGAGGAATACTACTGAGTCATAAAAAAGAATAAAATAATGGCATTTGCAGCAACATGGATGGACCTGGAGATTGTCATTCTAAATGAAGTCAGAAAGAGAAAGAAAAATGTAATATGATATTGCTTATACGTGGAACTAAACAACAGGATACAAATGAACTTATCTACAAAACAGAAACAGACTCACATAACAGAGAACAAACAAACTTATGATTACCAGGAGGTAAAGGAGGTGGGAAGGGATAAATTGGGAATTAAAAATTCGCACTTCTTGGGGAGTGATGGAAGCTATCTTGATTGTGGTGGCAGTTTCACTGGTTCATA